TCAGGTAGAAAAAGTGGAGACTGTGTGGTCAGCAGGTGAGAACATAGAATCATAGAATCAAAGAGTTGGAAGAGACCTCATGAGCCATCCAGTCCAACCCTCTGCCAAGAAGCAGGAATATTGCATTCAAATCACCCGACAGATGGCCATCCAGCCTCTGTTTAAAAGCTTCCAAAGAAGGAGCCTCCACCACACTCCGGGGCAGAGAGTTCCACTGCTGAATGGCTCTCACAGTCAGGAAGTTCTTCCTCATGTTCAGATGGAATCTCCTCTACTGTAGTTTGAAGCCATTGTTCCGCGTCCTAGTCTCCAAGGAAGCAGAAAACAAGCTTGCTCCCTCCTCCCTGTGGCTTCCTCTCACATATTTATACATGGCTATCATATCTCCCGGTGGCGCAGTGGGTTAAAGCACTGAGCTGCTGAGCTTGTTGATCGAAAGGTCGCAGGTTCGATTCCGGGGAGCGGCGTGAGCTTCCGCTGTCAGCCCTAGCTTCTGCCAACCTAGCAGTTCGAAAACATGCAAATGTGAGTAGATCAATAGGTACCGCTCCAGCGGGAAGGTAATGGCGCTCCATGCAGTCATGCTGGCCACATGACCTTGGAGGTGTCTATGGACAACGCTGGCTCTTCTTGGAGATGAGCACCACACCCCAGAGTCAGATATGACTGGACTTAATGTCAGGGGACAACCTTTACCTTTACAATCATATCTCCTCTCAGCCTTCTCCTCTTCAGGCTAAACATGCCCAGCTCCTTAAGCCGCTCCTCATAGGGCTTGTTCTCCAGACCCTTGATCATCATCACCATCACCATCACCATTATCATTATAACAACAAAACCCACCTTATTTCTCTCCTATAGCTTTCTCCTCCATTGACATGAATGCTAGTATCCTGGTGTTCAGTTCAAAGGTGCCTTTTTATATTAAAGCTTTCCAAGCTTAACTGATATTCTCCAATTTGCACATCTGTTATGTTTGATATCAATTTATTTTTTTCCAATTTTATTTAAATACCCTAGTATTGAGTCAAACGTTTAGTTACCTGCTTGTTTTCAGTAGCTTATCACACGCTGCCCAGAATTCCTTGGATATATAGGCATAAATACTACAGATAATATAATAATATAATATTAAAATAATATTAAAATAATATAAAATACAGCGGGCCCTTGGTATCTGCAGTGATGTGGATCCAGAACTCTCCTTGTATTCAACATCCGTGAATACAAGCCCTATACAATGGCAATCCAAAGATATAGACATATATTGCAATAGTTTCAATCCAATTGAATACTTGGATCCAGATTCTGTGGATAGGGGTGTAATATTATACTTGTGTGTTTTTTTTGCAAGTGATTTCCCTGAAAATAAAAGCACTTCCTTGCATTGATTGAATTTTTATTAATATTACTAGCTGTCCCCTGCCATGCGTTATATATATCTGTCCCCTGCCAGGTGTTGCTGTGGCCCAGTCTGGTGATCTGGAAAATAAAGTAATGAGAAAGTGTTGGTTTCTAATCTATGTAATTCCTTTATGCTTGTGAGTAAACAGTATTTCTTGTTGTTTCTTTGTCAGTGTTGATGCGGAGAGTGTCTGGTTTGCCTACTCTGGAACATGCAACATATCATTGTCCTTCTTTAAGGGTCTCTTTCAAATCTATGATATTATATATATGTGTGTGAGAGAATCATATCTATTTATCTATATTTATGACTGGATGTCTCTTTGTGAGGAGGGCTCTGATTCCATTTTCTTGCCCTAGTGAAGAGAGTAGGACTGGATGGCCTTAAATATTTTCTGTTAGTCATGGGGGTTCTGTGTGGGAAGTTTGCCCCATTTCTGTCGTTTGTGGGTTTCAGAATGCTCTTTAATTGTAGTGAACTATAAATCCCAGTAACTACAAATCCCAAATATCAAGGGCTATTTCCTCCAAACTCCATCTGTGTTCATATTTAGGCATATGGAATATTAGTGCCAAGTTTGGTCCAGATCCATCATTGTTTGAGTCCACAGTGCTCTGGATGTGGGTGAACTATAATTCCCAAACTCAATGTCAATGTCCACCAAACCCTTCCAGTTTTTTCTGTTGGTCATGGGAGCCCTGTGTGCTAAGTTTGGCGCAATTCCATCATTGGTGGAGTTCAGAATGCTCTTTGATTGTAGGTAAACTATAAATCCCAGCAACGACAATTCCCAAATGACAAAATCATTTTTTTTCAGTGGAGGACATAAATTGGACTGTTAGGTGTCTTGTTTCCAAATTTGGTGTCAATTCCCCCAGTGGTTTTTGAGTTCTGATGGTAGCACGAACTCACCCCCCGGGGTGAGAAGGGCGGGGTATAAGTAGATGAAATAAATAAAAAAAATAACATTGCATCTTTATTTATATAGATTAATATTACTTAGTCACTTATTATTAATTATTTTATTCATTAATAATAATTAGTTATTTAGTATTAATGATAATAGTTTTATCCACATGAAATTAATATCAATATTATTAATATTATTAATAGGGGAGGTGGGTAAGAAATAAAATTACTATTATTGTTGTTGTTGTTGTTATTTAAATGAGTTTTGAAAGATAAAATGGCAATAAAAAGACATTTAACCCGTTTAAAACAACAGGCCAGTTGTAAAAGTTTGGATTAAAACCCAGAGCGGATTGAGCCCTCCTTCGGATATCTCCTGCCATGTCTTACTTTTGGATCTTTCTGCTTCCTCTCATTGTTGTGTGTTTGTGCTTCCCCAGGTTTCACCAATGTGAAGTCGAAGTCAAAGAAAGCCACTTCCTGCGAAAACTCACGGAGAAGTGCAAGAGACTTAGGGCATTAAAGTAAGTTCGGGCTTCTATGCATTTTCACTCTGTCCGGTTCTACATTGACCATATGATGTGGTTGTTGCATCCCAGTACAAGAAACAAGACCATAAGATTAAATCCACCACTCTGAACTGTAGGAAAAGCAATCCTTGTTTATTGATGAAAGATTGGTTACTAGGCCTGGGTAACAACGGAAAAATTTGTTTCTAAAATCGATTCGTTTTTTGGGGTTTTTTGCGTTTCGTTATTTAAAATAATTACAAAATTTTCCTTTAAAAAAGTTCGATATTTACGAAATTTCGTAAATGTGAAAAAAATTACAAAACATTAACGAATCGATTTCCGAAACAATAACGAATCGATTCATTAATGGCGGACGCGACCGCGAAATACGCTAAAAAACGTCCAAAAACTTCTGAAGCTTCCCTCTCCCTCTGTTGTTGACTGTTGGTGTGATATTATAATTTTTTTTCACTAATTAAACAAAAAACAACCATAAAACTTGCCCCAGACATGCGGAAATAATAACGAAACGACCTCAAAACAATAACGAAACGAATACAATAACGAAATACGAAGCATTTACAAAACTATTTAAAAATTCGTTTTTTTAAAAAAATTGCTCCAGAATGGTTCGTTATCGTTTTGTAATTGAAAAAATTAACGAATTATTAACGAATTACGAATTAACGAAACGAAACCGCCCAGCCCTATTGGTTACAAAAGAAAGGTAAAAGCAAAGTCAAAAACAGCCACAGAAAAACACAGTAGGCAAAAGGATCTCTGAACTTGAACAAAGCTTCAAAAAGGCACAAAACAAAAACCAGGAGTCTGTTAGCATTACTAACCATGAACTTGGAAAACTAGAAGCCTCTGGGATACTGGCCCTAGAATGCAGGAACTTCTGCCAAGACCAGCCACAGTCCCAAACGTTGCTTGACCTAAGAAAGCACCCGGAAGGCACTCTCTCTTAAAGCAAAGAAGCTATTCTTAGAAACGCCCCTTGACTTTTCTGTCTGGGCCTCTTTCTGCTGTAAGCGCTGTGACCTTCGTAGAAACTGGGAAACAAATCTATCTCTGACTATCTGTTCTCTTCGGACCTCATTATCAAGCCCAGATGGGGAGATATCATGGCTAACTTCCAAAACATTCTCTTCTAACTGTTGGGTTTCGTTTTCACTGATCTCTGCTTCATCCGCAGATTCCAAACTGTCAGAATCTGAGAGAGCTTTCTCAGTTGGAAATACTATCAGAGAATCCTGTTCCCCCAGATCAGGATCAGCAGGCTGAACCCAAACAGTGGTTTGAACTCCATTAAACTGTTTGGGCCGGGCTATAGCACAGATAGATACTAGAGACAAAGTTGAAGTACTTTGGCCACATCATGAGGAGACAGGAAAGCTTAGAGAAGACAATTATGCTGGGGAAAATGGAAGGAAAAAGGAAGAGGGGCCGACCAAGGGAAGATGGATGGAAGGCATCCTTGAAGTGACTGGCTTGACTCTGAAGGAGCTGGGGGAGGTGATGGCCGACAGGGAGCTCTGGCGTGGGCTGGTCCATGAGGTCACGACGAGTCGGAAACGACTGAATGAATGAACATAGCACAGCAGGTTAAGCACAAGCTGCAGGAATAAATCTTGCCAATCGAAAGGTTGACAGTTCGAAGCCTGGGTTGTGGTGAGCTCCTGACCTTCAGCCCAGCTTCTGCCTACCTAGCAGACCGAAAACAGCAACTGTAAGAAAATAAATAAGCACTGCTTTAAGTGGGGAGATATTTAAAAGCAGCCATAAGGAAATGCCAGAAAAATGCCAGCAATTTGATCAAGGAGGAAGTTTGCGAAAAAACTTCGGCAGGGAAGATGGAGCAACATCACCCTCCCATGGCTGGAACCAAGCACAGCTTCCAAGATGCCGAATGTTGCAACTATTATTATTATTATTATAACTTTATTTGTACCCCGCTAGCATCTCCCGAGGGACTCGATGCGGCTTGCACAGGCCGAGGCCCCAAAACACAATACAACAAAACAGATACCTAAAGCAAATTAAAACAGTAAAGCAGAAAAACAATAACAATACAACAAGACACTATTAAAACTGGGCCGGCCAGGGTAGGGGTACAGGATTAAAAGTGCTGATGTGGCAGGAGGTATAATACAGTAAGTGCAGTGTGCAGTATGCGGTGATCCTGGTTTTACTAAAGTGCTTCTAGGAATTGGTGCTGGGGGTTCCTAGTCTGAAAAGGCACATTGGAACAGCCAGGTCTTCAAATTCTTTCTGAAGACTGCCAATGTAGGGGCTTGACTGAGATCTTTCGGGAGGGCGTTCCAAAGTCGGGGGGCCACCACGGAAAAAGGCCCTGTCTCGTGTCCCCACCAAACACGCGCTTGCGACGCTGGCGGGATCACGAGCAGGGCCTCTCCAGATGACCGGAGTGAGCGTGTGGGTTCGTAGACAGCGATGCGGTCGCAGGTAGGGTGGTCCCAAACCGTTCAGGGCTTTGTAGGTAAGCACCTGCACCTTAAATTGGGCTCGGAAAATAAACGGCAGCCAGTGGAGCTCCTTAAACAGGAGGGTTGACCTCTCTCTGTAATGGCCCCAGTTAACATCCTGGCTGCTGCCCGTTGGACCAGTTGGAATTTCCGAGCCGTTTTCAAGGGCAGCCCCACGTAGAGCGCATTGCAGTAGTCCAATCTAGAGGTGACCAAGGCATGGACCACTCCGGCCAGATCAGCCTTTGCGAGGTACGGACGCAGCTGGCACAAGTCTCAATTGTGCAAAAGCCCTCCCGGACACCGCCGACGCCTGAGCCTCAAGCGTGAGCGAAGAATCCAAGAGGACTCCCAAGCTGCGGACCTGTGGCTTCAGGGGGAGTGTAACCCCGTCCAACACAGGTAGCCACCCTATACCCCGATCCGGTTTGCGATCGACCAGGAGGACCTCTGTCTTGTCGGGATTGATCTTCAGCTTGTTTGTCCTCATCCAGATAGACACAGCGGCCAGGCACTCATCCAACACCCGAGAGGCCTCCTTGGAATTAGGTGGAAAAGAGTAGTAGAGTTGTGTGTCATCTGCGTAGAGATGGCACCCAACTCCAAAACTCCGGATGACCTCTCCCAGCGGTTTCATGTAGATGTTAAAGAGCATGGGAGACAGAATAGAGCCTTGCGGGACCCCACAGGTCAAAGGCCAGGGATCCGAGCAGGCGTCTCCCAGCTTCACCATCTGGGTTCGTCCCTCCAGGAAGGACCCAAACCACGACAGAACCGAGCCCCCGAGACCCATCCCAGAGAGGCGACCCAGAAGGATACCATGATCGATGGTATCGAAAGCCGCTGAGATGTCCAAGAGAACCAACAGAGTCACACTCCCCCTGTCCAGCTCTCTACGGAGGTCATCCACCAAGGCGACCAAGGCTGTCTCGGTGCCGTGACCAGGCCTGAAACCAGACTGTGACTGATCTAGGTAATTGATGTCATCCAAGAAGCCCTGGAGCTGGGAGGCGACTCAGACTAAGCTTCGCCTTGCTCCCAAACACCACCACACAAGAGCTGCAGAATGTATAGTTTATTGAGGAAAAATCCAAGTCAAAATATAGAATAAGCAATGCAAAGTTCCAAAGACACAAGTTAAATGCAGAACACAATTCCAAAGGTCTTCAGGTGAAGACAAAAAACATAATCCTTTAAGTAAAGGTTAAAACAGAGTCCATGGTAAAAACAGTGAAGCACAAGACCCAAGAATCAAGATGCAGGAAGCCCAAAGTGTGCTGCTTTAAAGCCAAGGTTATTCCATGAAGCTTTCAGGCTAACAAGCAACGTTGAACTGACACTTTCCCTTCGTTAACTAGAAGCCTAAATACCTTTTGCTAACATGAAAACATTATGCTCTCACCAACATGAAAGCATTGCGATGCCCTATCCCCGAGCTGGCTTCTCTTTTGCTGGCTAGGCGTGAACTCCTCCTGACCCACAAATCAAGACGTGCTTGCCGGGTCAGGTCACTATCAAGGCTTTCTGCACTATCACTATCACCATGGGAAGGCAAAGGCCTCTCCACCTGTTCATTATCTAATTCATTGGCATTCCTTTCTTCTGAGAACCGCTTTGTTGACTCTCCAGCTGCACTATCTGCACTGTCTGTTGGAGCCTCAGAAAAAGACATAGGAACAGGCCCAGGAAGCTGTGGCACAGAGAAAGAGCCAGGAATCTGAATCCCATCATCCGCATCATCAGAAAACATCTCAGGCCCAAAATCACACTGAACCACAACACTGAAGATGGGAAACCTGTCACTCCATTCTCAACCTTCCTAATACCTTAATACTGTTCTTCATGTTGTGGTGACTCCCAACCATAAAATTATTTTATTGCTACTTCATAACTGGAATTTTGCTACTGTTATGAATCGTAATGTAAATATCTGATATGCAGGATGTATATTCATTCACTGGACCAAATTTGGGATGAAAACCTGATACACCCAAATAACACTGGTGAGGTTGGGGTGGGGGATTGATTTTGTCATTTGGGAGTTGTAGTTGCTGGGATTTATAGTTCACTTACAATCAAAGAGCATTCTGAACTCCACCAATGATGGAATTGAACCAAACTTGGCACACAGAACTCCCATGACCAACAGAAAATACTGGAAGGGTTTGGTGGCATTGACCTTGAGTTTTGGAGTTGTAGTTCACCTACTCCAGAGAGCACTGTGGACTCAAACAATGATGGATCTGGACCAAACTTGGCATGAATACTCAATATGCCCAAATGTGAACACTGGTGGTTTGGGGAAAATAGACCTTGTCATTTGGAAGTTGTAGTTGCTGGGATTTATAGTTCACTACAATCAAAGAGCATTCTGAACTCCACCAATGATGGAATTGAACCAAATGGCACACAGAACTCCATGACCAACAGAAAATACTGGAAGGGTTTGGTGGGCATTGACCTTGAGTTTTGGAGTTGTAGTTCACCTCCATCCAGAGAGCACTGTGGACTCAAACAATGATGGATCTGAACCAAACTTGGCATGAATACTCAATATGCCCAAATGTGAACACTGGTGGCGTTTGGGGAAAATACACCTTGACATTTGGAAGTTGTAGTTGCTGGGATTTATAGTTCATCTACAATCAAAGAGCATTCTGAACTCCACCAATGATGGAATTGAACCAAACTCGGCACACAGACCAACACAAAATACTGGAAGGTTTTGGTGGGCATTGACCTTGAGTTTTGGAGTTGTAGTTCACCTACATCCAGAGAGCACTGTGGACTCAATGACAGGTCTAGACCAAACTTGGCACGGATACTCAATATGCCCAAATGTGAACACTGGTGGCGTTTGGGGAAAATAGGCCTTGACATTTGGGAGTTGTAGTTGCTGGGATTTATAGTTCATCTACAATCAAAGAGAATTCTGAACTCCACCAATGCTGGAATTGAACCAAACTTGGTACACAGAACTGCCATGACCAACAGAAAATACTGGAAGGTTTTGGTGGGCATTGACCATGAGTTTGGAAGTTGTAGTTCACCTACATCCAAAGAGCCCTGTGGACTCAAACAATGATGGATCTGGACCAAACTTGATACAAATACTCCATATGCTCAAATGTGAACACTGGTGGCATTTGGGGAAAATAGACCTTGACATTTGGAAGTTGTAGTGTCTGGGATTTATAGTTCACCTGCAATCAAAGTGCATTCAGAACCCCACAATGATGGACACAGAATCACCATGACCAACTGGAAGGATTTGGGATGAATTGACAATGATTTAGGAAAGATGTAGTTCACCTACATCCAGAGAGCACTGTGAACCCAAACGATTATGCCAAACTGTTTCCTAAGACCATAAGAAATATGTTTTCTGATGGTCTTTCATGACCTCTCTGAAACCCTCCCGCAACCCCCGAAGGTTCCCAACCCCCAGGCTGAGAAACACTGCTCTATGACAAAGAGCCATCAGGACGTCCTCCTGAACATTAGGAGATTCCATCTGAACATTGGGAAGAACTTCCTGACTGTGAGAGCCGTTCAGCCGTGGAACTCTCTGCCCAGGAGTGTGGTGGAGGCTCCTTCTTTGGAAGCTTTTAAACAGAGGCTGGATGGCCATCTGTCAGGGGTGCTTTGAATGCAATATTCCTGCTTCTTGGCAGAATGCGGTTGGACTGGATGGCCCATGAGGTCTTTTCCAACTCTGGGATTCTATGATTCATTTTGGTTGCCAGGCATTTTCTCATCTTTTTCTTTATGGTGTCTAAAAATACCTCCTTACTTGGTTTTGTGGTACCTAATTTCTCTTCTTACAGCTCAAGCAGTTTTTGAACTGCTTAGGTAAACAGTAAGCTGGGCTGACAGTCGGGAGCTCACGCCGACCTGAGGCTTCAAACTGGCAACCTTCCAGTTGGTAGATCTTATCAATGCTGGTGATTTACCATTTATGCTAAAGCCGGCCCTTTAACACAGCTAAATCCTTTTTTTATTGAGGGCGAGGGTAGCAGTGCCACACTCTCTCAGCCTCAGAGTTCTTTTCTCTTTGCAGGTGCTCTCAGGTGGAGTTTACGGATGAGGAATCAGAAACCATGTTGGACTTTCTGTTGCATTTCCCTGCACTGGAGAGACTTGAGTATGCCTCGCATGAATTGCTCTGTGCCTTCCATCCCTATTACACAAAATTTGCTAATAATAATAATAATAATAATTCTGTTCCTGGTTTGAAAGTGTTATTTCCTGTTTAATTGTGCGGCCCTAACTTTGAAAGTAGTTGTTATCCTCCAGAATCTTTGTTTTTGTGGCACAAACTATGTTGAATTGGTTGTGTAGTTTAACCCAAGAACAAAAATCGTGTTGTGCATTGTTATTATTTATTTACTAGCCATCCCCTGCCATGCGTTGCTGTGGCCCAGTCTGTGTATATGTGCTTTGTGTGTGTATATTTGTGTATATGTGTGTATATGTGGTTTTGTGCATGCGCTGTAATGTATTTTTTGTTTTTTGGCTTTTTAAATCTTTTCTGCTGTGTTTTTCAGTGTTTTTATGAGTGATGGTCACTCGTTGGCCTGATAGGTGTCTTGTGTCCAAATTTGGTGTCAATTTGCCCAGTGGTTTTTGAGTTAGGTTAATCCCACAAACATTACATTTTTGTTTGATCAAGAAAAAAATTGTTTCTAAAATCGATTTGTAATTGGGGTGTTTTTTTGTTTCGATATTTAAAATAATTACAAAACTTTCCAAAAAAAAGTTTCGGTATTTACGAAATTTCGTAAATATTTACAAAACATTTTTTAAAGAATAATATTAAAATAATATTAAAAAATATTTTAAAATGGAAAATTAACCAAAAAATGGCCCAAATGTGGACCAAACACAGGCAGGAGACAGCAAATGAGAGCACACACCAACAGAAGAGTCTTTTCTTTTTTAGAATATTTTTTAAGAATAATATTAAAATAATATTAAAAAATAATATTAAAAAATAATATTAAAAAATATTTTAAAATGGAAAACGAAACCGCACAGGCCTACTATACAGACATAGCGGGTTTGAGGCAATTGCTGCTTAAAGCCACAGGCTGGTGACAGAAACGAGCAGAAGTGGGTGCAGAGTGCAGCTTAAAACACTGGAAACTTGAAGCGATGGGAGGGGGTGTGGGCTGTGAGCAGCTTTGTGCGAGGAGGGCCTACCTAAGAGAGGGATTGTGTGTGTGTGGATGGAGGAATGGATGGATGGGGTAATGTATGGCCATGTTCTAGAAGCATTCTCTCCTGACGTTTCTCCCGCATCTATGGCAGACATCCCCAGAGATTGTGAGGTGAGGAAGAGCGGGGGAGTGGGAAGAAGGTGGCGGCTTTCCTACCCTCAGAGCACGTCCTGCTGCCCCCTCCGCCGGACACGGTTGGTGGGTCCCGGCGCGGAGCCTCCTTCCAAGCTGCCCAGGAGGGGGAAGCTGCTGCCGGGGTGGCTGCTGCTGCTGCTGCTCCCTCCGCCGGCCGTGGCTCCTGGCTCGGCTCCTTCGGCGGGACGGATGAGGAGGAGGAGGAGAAGGAGACGCTCTCCGGCCCCGGACGAGCCAAAAAGCGGGAGCCAGAAGAGGACAGAGAGGAGCTAAGCAGAGCCGAGCGGAGAAAAAGCGGCTGCCCGGCGGAAGGCGAAGGGAGGGGAAAGGCAGAGAAAGAGAGGAAGGGGAGGAAGGGGCCCGCGGAGGAGGGCAGACTCCGGCCTGTCAGCAGGGACCCGCCAAGCACGTGGGAGAGGAGCCCCCGAGAGAGAGGGGGGAGGGAGAGGCAGCGCCAAAGGGGCGGCGGGACCGGAGAAAAAGGAGGAGGAGGAGGAGGGCGGCAGCGCGGCCCTCAGGAAAGGATGCCTGGCTCGCACAGACCTGGGGAGGGAGGAAGAGAGGGAAGGAGGAGGAGGAGGAGGAGTGTTGGAAAACGGGGAGAGGGGAAAGAGGGCGGGGAGAGCAGCCCAGGCCGGGAAAGAGGGGAATGCCAGGCACCAGCACTCCAGCAGCCTCCATCCCATTAACGAAACGAGCGGAAGCTCGTTAAATCTATGGGGGTTGCCAGTTCGATATTTTTAAACCCTTCCGGGTTTGAAAATGTGTTTTGATATCGCTTCGGAAATGCCAAAAATAACGAATTAATAACGAATTAACGAATTAACGAACGAAACCACACAGGCCTATTATATAGACTTGTTGCAACTCAGAGTAAGCTTCGCCTTGCTTCCAAACACCACCACACAAGAGCTGTAATTTTATAGTTTATTAAAGAAAAAGTCCAAGTCAAAATAAAGAATAAGCATTGCAAAGTTCCAAAGATTTAGGTTAAATGCAGAATATAGTTCCAAAGATCTTCAGGTAAAAACAAGAGGCACAATCCTTTGGCAAAGTTCAAAATAGAGTCCAAGGTACAAGCAATGAAACAATTGCCCCAAGAATCACAATGCAAGAAATCACAAGTGTGCTGCTTTCCAGCTAAGGTTATTCCATTAAGCTCTCAGGCTAATAAGCTACATTAAACTGATACTTTCACTCCGTTTGCAAGAAGCCTAAATGCCTTTCTAACATGAAAACATTATGTTCTCACCAACATGAAAGCATTGCAATGATCTTTCCCCGAGCTGGCTTCTCGTCTGCCGGCTAGGCGAGAACTCCTCCTTACCCGCAAATCAAGACGGGCTTGCCGGGTCAGGTCACTATCAAGGCTTTCTGCACTTTCACTATCAGCATGGGAAGGCCTCTCCACCTGTTTGCTATCTACTTCGTTGTTAACATTCCTTTCTTCTGAGAACCGCTGTGTTGACTCTGCACTGTCTGTGGGAGCCTCAGAAAAAGACCTAGAAGCAGGCCCAGAGATCTGAGGCACAGAAAAAGAGCCAGGAATCTGAATCCCATCATCCTCATCATCAGAGAACATCTCAGCCACAACAAGACTAGCCGTCCCCTGCCACACGTTGCTGTGGCCCAGTCTTTGTATATATGTTTTGTGTGTGTATATATCTTTATATTGTGTGCATATTTGTGTATATGTGTATATATGTATGGTTATGCACATGCATTGTAATGTATTTTTTTTTTTTTGGCTTTTTAAGTCTCTTCTGCTGTGTTTTTCAGTGTTTTTATGAGTGATGGTCACTCATTGGCCTGATAGGTGTCTTGTGTCCAAATTTGGTGTCAATTCACCCAGTAGTTTTTGAGTTCTGTTAGTCCCACAAACTGACATTACATTTTTATTTATATAGATATACCCTGCTTTAATCTCTCCAAAAAAGTGGCTTGCAGGAAAACTGATACACTACTTATGCAAACTACAAATTCAAAGGTCTTCCTTTCATGTCTTTTTAAGGCAAGAAATCCTCAGAAGTAGCTTTGCCAGCTTCTTCTCTCCAAATATAGCTTACAGCCTGTCAAATGCATTGGTGGTCTCCCATCCAAGTACTAACCAAGGCCAGCCCTGCTTAGCCAACAATATCAAATTGAATCCAGTCCCTTTTAAGGTATTCAGGCCTGTTCTAAATAGGGTTTTCTCAGGCAAGGAGTCCTCAGTGGTGGTTTTGCCCATTCCCTCCGCATAGACTTGGCATTCACCAGTGGTCTCCAATCCAAGCGCTATCCGGGGCAAACCCTGCTTAGCTATCAATCTCAGATGGGATCTGGTGCCTATAAGGTATTTAGTCCTGCCCTAAAAAGGACTTTATTAGGCAGTGAGTCCTCTGAAGTATCTTTGCCAGCTCTATCCTTTGGGATTCATTAGCGGTCTCCCATCCAAGTGCTAAACATGCCTGACCCTGCTTAGCTTACAATATTAGAGAGGATTTGATGCCTTTGAGATAGTTAGATATTTATACTGACTCTACACTGCAAAGCGAATGAGTTCCATCCCATTCACCTCGAGTGTGTCTCAGTCATTGATCGTCAATCATTAATCAGCTCTTTCGATCATATCATTGGAAGAGGAGGAGACGTTCCCAATTCCATCCAGTGCCAGGCTTTTCACTTATGCCTATGCAAAGAGTTGTGCCAAGCTTATGTTTTTGAGGAAGCAATGCTGTTTTCCTCCTGATCCTTGCTCTTCCTAATCGTGCAGGTTGACCGGCTGCCGATTTTCTCCCTCTGGATTGGATTCTCTGGCTTCAGCATTGCGTCAATGTCCGGCTTTGGGAGAAATCAGGTGAGTGTTATGAACAAGGTGGCCACGTTGGCAATTGGATTCTTAATCCAGGATAGCTTGTCGTTTTTTGAATGGAAGGCAATTGAGATGTTTTGCTTCCTTGGCTTTAAAGTCCAAAGCTTGAAGTCACTCTCCAGGATGTGAAACCCTGTCTTCTCACCCAGTTGATGATTAATAATAATAATAATAATAATAATAATAATAATAAGTATAATACTGGCATAAGCCAGTAAAGGTGGTCCCAGTGGTGATTGGCACACTGGGTGCAGTGCCTAAAGACCTTGGCCTGCACTTAAACACAATTGGCACTGACATTATTACTATCTGCCAGCTTCAGCAGACTGCCTTACTGGGATCTGCGCGCTTTATTCGCCAGTACATCACACAGTCCTAGACCCTTGGGAAGTGTCCGACGTGTGATCCAATTCAATAACCAACAGAGTGTCTGCTGTGGACTCATCTTGTTGTGTTTCAAATAATAATAATAGTCATAATAATAGAATGATAGAAATCTAGAGCTGGAAGGGACCCCATGGGCCATCCAGTCCAATCCCCTTCTGCCATGCAGAAAAAGCACAATCAAAGCCCTCCCAACAGATGACCCTTCAGTCCCTGCTTAATAATAATAATAATAATAATAATAATAATAATAATAATAATAATAATATGAAATCTAGCATATAGATGTCATTTGCTGTGGCATACTGTGTTTTTGTGTCAGGAGCCCTCGGTGGTGCAGTGGGTTAAACTGCTGAGCTGCTGAGCTTGATGATCAAAAGGTCGCAGGTTCGAATCTGGGGAACGGCGTTAGCTTCCGCTGTCAGCCCCAGTTTCTGCCAACTTAGCAGTTCGAAAACATGCAAATGTGAGTAGATCAATAGGTATCGCTCCAGCAGAAGGTAATGGCTCTCCATGCAGTCATGCCGGACACATGACCTTGGAGGTGTCTACAGACAACGCCGGCTCTTAGAAATGGAGATGAGCACCACACCTCAGAGTCGGACACAACTGGACTTAATGTCAGGGGAAAACCTTTACCTTTACCTAAATAGTAGTAGTAGTAGTAGTAGTAGTAGTAGTAATAATATCATCATAGGAATCTAGAGCTGGAAGAGACCCCAATGGCCATCCAGTCCAACCTCTGCCATGCAAGTAATAGAACAATCAAAGTCCTCCTGACAGATGGCCATTCAGCTCCTGCTTAATACTACTACTACTACTACTACTACTACTAATAATAATAATAATAATAATAATAATAGAATCATAGGAATCTGGAGCTGGAAGGGACCCCAGGAGCCATCCAGTCCAACCTCTGTCATACAGGAAAGGTAAAACCAAAGCCCTTCTGACAATGGCCATTCAGCCCCTGCTTAATAATAATAAAATAATGATAATTACAACTACTACTACAACAGCAACAATGGAATCATAGAAATCTGGGTGTATTGGAAAGGATCCCAGAGGCTATCCAGTCCAACCTTCATCTGCCATGCAGGTAAAAGCACAATCAAAGCCCTTCTGACAGATGGCCCTTCACCCCCTGCTTAACAACAACAACAACAACAACAGAGTCATAGAACAACAACAACAACAACAACAACAACAGAGTCATAGAAACCTAGAGCTGGAAGAAACCCCTGGGACCATCTAATCCAACCCCCTGCTGCCAGTCAGGAAAAGCTCACACACACATCCCATAGATGGCCACCCAGCTTCTGTTTAAAAGCCTCCAAAGAAGGAGCCTCCACCAGACTCTGAAGCAGAGAGTTCCACTGTTGAACGGCTCTCGTTGTCAGGAAGTCCTTCCTAATGTTTAATGGAATCTCTTTCCCTGTCATTTGAATGCATGGTTCCATTGAGTCCCAGTCTCCAGGGCAGTGGATGGAATAGGGAATGGAAGGAATGGAAATTCCTTCCATTCCTTCTCTTGTTCCTTGCAACAGTTGAATGCTTTTCTCTCTTTAGCTTTTCCAAAAGCGAACTGGGGACAGACGGCATTGCTACGCTTCTGAGTTCACTGGAAGGCAAATCGCAGTTGAGAAGCATCGAGTAAGTTGCCTTTTCACGGCTCTACATTTGGCATCTTCTGGGTGTATTGGACTACATTTCCCATTATCCCCACCCATCCTGTCCAGCTGGGGCTGATGGGAGTGGCAGTCCAACATGCCTGGAAGCTGATATGAAAACTTATATAATGTATTATTATCCCCATATCGTTCTCCTGTCTCTTTCTTAGCCTCAGTTTTCTGAATCTGGACAACACACATCTTCCGAAGCTGATTTCCAGACTTTCTGCAATGCCTCTGCTGAGAAAATTGAGGTCTGTTTCTCTGTTGGTCAAGGAAAGGTTCAATTTCAATACTAGAACTCTCCCTTGAGACCAAAAATACTAGAACTCTCCCTTGAGGCCATTGCACTTTGGTCACATTGTGGGTCAATGCAAATTCACAACTTTGGATGGCGAAACTCATGCAGTGTTTGGTATCTTTTGTCTGTTTTCCAGTTTGAACAATAATCAGCTCAGCAGCGAGGCCTGTCCTTCCCTCGCTGAAGCTTTGAAGAAAGCCATTAACATGGAAGACATTGAGTAGGTTCATTTGCAGTCTTTTTCCTTCCTTCCTTTTCTCAATCTCTCTCTTTTCCCTTCCTTCTTTTCTTTCTTCCTTTTCTCCTTCCCTCTCTTCTTTCTACCTTTCTTTCCTCCTTTTCTCCTTCTCTTTGTCCTACCTACCTACCTTTCTTTCTTTTTTTCTCTCCTTCCCTCTTTTCTTTTTACCTATTTTTCCTTTTCTTCTTCTCTCTCTTCTTCCTTCCTACCTTTCTTTTCTCCTCTCTTCTTCTTATCTATCTTCCTTTTCTCCTTCTCACTCTTTCTCCTACCTTTTTCTCTTTCCTCATTTCCTCCTTCCCTCTCTTCTTCCTACCTTTCTTTCTTTCTTTCTTCCTTTTTTCCTTCTCTCTTTTCTTTCTTCCTATCTTTCTTTCTTCCTTTTCTCCTTCTCTCTCTTCTTTCTTTCTTTCTTTCTTTCTTCTCTTTTTCCTACCTTCTTTTCTTTTTTTCTCCTTCCTCTCTTCTTCCTTCCTACCTTTCTTTCTTCCTTTTCTCCTCTCTTCTTCTTACCTAACTATCTTCCTTCCTTTTCTCCTTCTCACTCTTTTTCCTATCTTCTTCTCTTTCCTTATTTCCTCCTTCCCTCTTTTCTTCCTTCCTATTCTCCTTCCCTTTCTTTTTCCTACATTTTTCCTTCCTTTCTTGCTTCTCTCTCTTCTTCCTCCCTACCTTTCTTTCTTCCTTTTCTCCTTCTCACTCATTCCCCTACCTTTTTCTCTTTCCTCATTTCCTCCTTCCCTCTCTTTTTCCTACCTTCTTTTATTTCCTCCTTTCCTCTGAGCAGACTGGATGCTTTTTTTCAATATTCTGATCTATGCTCTTTCTGTTAAAGGTTGAGCTACAACAAAATAGATGATGCCGGAGTGAAAGAAATTGCTGCAGCTCTTCCAGAAATGAAGAATCTGAAGCAAATCAAGTGAGTTTCTAGTTTGGACAGTTTCTGTAGATTTTGGTTTAGGGAGGTTGGATGAATCCAGAAAAAGATATGTGTGAATGTGTATACACACACACACACACACACATAGAGGGAGAGACTATCCTTGAAGCCTTTCACTCAAATAAGTCCAATACTTGGATAGAGATTTTGAAATTCACACTAAAAATCACAATGGATTCTAATCCCTTTCTAACATGGATTTAGGCCATATATGTTAGTTTTCTACTGGGATTTCCCTCATTATTATTATTATTTATTTATTACTTGCACTTATTTACCGCCACTCTCAGCCCAGGGGGCGACTCGTGGCGGTGAACAACAACATAGAAAAGACAGTTTACAGTCATCAGAACAATACAACACATGCTACTACTACTAAACATATACTTATACTAAAAATCCGCTTCGTCGTATCATGGGTCATAGTCAGTCTCATAGTCGTAATCCATTCCGGTCGTCATTGCCAAGGATAGTAATCAGTTGAAGGCCAGCTCGAAGAGCCACGTTTTCAGGCTCCTACGGAAGGCCGTAAGGGAGGGCGCCTGTCTAACTTCGGCAGGGAGGGCGTTCCACAGCCGGGGTGCCACCACCGAGAAGGCCCGCTCTCTCGTCCCCGCCAGGCATGCCTGTGAGGCAGACGGGACCGAGAGAAGGGCCTCCCCGGATGATCTCAAGGTCCTCGTGGGCTCGTAGGCCAAGATGCGGTCTGCAAGGTATTTTGGGCCTTGTAAAACTGCAGCCAAGGGTTGAATGCACACTGCAGGCTGCTGATCAGATTGGAAAAAAATCTGCCTCTGTGATTGTTCTGATTGCCTTTCCATTCTGTGAATCGTTTTAGCCTCTCATCCAACAACATTGGTGCTGCTGGAGGAAAGGCTTTTGCAGAAGCTCTGGTTGCGAGCAAGAATCTGGAGGTGCATTTCTATGTGCATTTCTTCCTTTTATGAGACACTCCAGCTGTTGTGACTCAGCAGCTTGACTCTGAGTCTGAAGCTGAGCCCTGTGGGTCTTGTGAACCAGAGTTCCCTGATGAGGAGGATGATGGGTTACAGATTTCTGTTCATGTCTCAGACGGGGATGATGGTGAGGCTTCAGAAGGGGAAACAGCAAACCAGTTCTCAGGGGAAAAGAATGTAAGTGATAACGGGAGTGAATTCCCACACGGCCAGGTGGAGATGTCTTCGCCACAGCTGGTAAACCAAGATAAGGGATTAGAGAGCCTTGAAGATACTGAATTAATGAGCAGGCAGGATCGCCTGCAATTAAGGGTCCAGAGAAGTTCTTGTTTAGCCAGTAAGCGAGAGGCCAAGTTGGCCAAAGGTCATCGCAATGCATTCATGGTTGCTAAGGGTATTTAGCCTTCTGGCTGACAAACATTGTCAGTTCAACGTGGCTCTTTTCATGCAAACTTCTGTGGATTAACCTTGGCTTTAAGCAGCATGCTTCTGGCTTCCTGAGTCTGGGATTTTGGGTTCTTGTGTTTTTCATGGATTATTGTTTGACCATTGCTTAAAGGATCGTGCTCATGTTTTTGCCTTTGGATCTTGGGAACTGTGTCTTTGCATTTTAGGCCTCTTTGGAACTTTGCTTTTCTTATACTATGGTTTGACTTTGCCTTTTCTTCAGTAAACTACCAAATCTACAGCTTTGGTGTGGTGGTGTTTGGGAGCAAGGTGAAAACTACCCTGAGTTGCAACACCAGCCACGATCCTAGTTTGCATTGCATTGCAGGTGAAGCATGTGCATGGATTTGCAATCTACAACCAATGCATTGAATTGCAACACTGAACTATCCGTGGTGCTGAAACTATTTAATAAGGGACAGGTTCAGGACCACAGAGAGCTCCTTTAAAACCTGCATTACAACAGGAAGAACATAAAAAGGGGGAAGTCTAGATAAGCGTAAAATCTTTCTCTTGAGCACCACATATATCCTACACATCTCTATTTTTCATTGGAGAGGTGCTACCAAGCTGATGTTATCCATGCTTCTTGCGCCGTAGCTGTTGCACCTCAGAGTAGATTCACCTTGCTGAAAACACCATACTGCACACAGTGTCACGTTGCTAGGGCTCTACCTTGTTTAGGTAGAGATGAATCAAAACTCACAGTTTTAAGTAACAGTTTAATTAAAACAGCACTTACTTGCTGGCTGTTTTTATAGTCCAAAATATAAAACACAAAGATAGCACGCAGCCACAAAATAAACAAAAACTGATAGCAAAAATAACTTCGTAGTCAAAAGGTCAAATGCCGAGAGTTCAATAAACAAAGTCCAGGGATCAAGAGTCTATACCGTAGTCAAAAGCCAGTCCAAAGGTTCAAGGTTCCAGGATTCCAAGATTACCGTCCAGTCAGCCTCACGTCGATACCAGGCAAGATTCTGGAAAAGATTGTTAAGGAAGTGATCTGCAAACACTTAGAAACAAATGCGGTCATCGCTAATAGTCAACATGGATTTATCAAAAACAAGTCATGCCAGACTAATCTGATCTCTTTTTCGATAGAGCTACAAGCTGGGTAGATGCGGGGAATGCCGTGGATGGAGCGTACCTGGATTTCAGTAAGGCCTTCGACAAGGTCCCCCATGACCTTCTGGCAAGGAAACTAGTCCAATGTGGGCGAGGCAAAACTATGGTGAGGTGGATCTGTAATTGGTTAAATGGACGAACCAGAGGGTGCTCACCAATGCTTCCTCTTCATCTTGGAAAGAAGTGACAAGTGGAGTGCCGCAGGGTTCCGTCCTGGGCCCGGTCCTGTTCAACATTTTTATTAATGACTTAGATGAAGGGTTAGAAGGCAGGATCATCAAGTTTGCAGACGACACCAAATTGGGAGGGATAGCCAATACTCCAGAGGACAGGAGCAGGATTCAAAACGATCTTGACAGATTAGAGAGATGGGCCAAAACTAGCAAAATGAAGTTCAACAGTGACAAATGCAAGATACTCCACTTTGGCAGGAAAAACGAAATGCAAAGATACAGAATGGGGGACGATGCCTGGCTTGAGAGCAGTACGTGTGAAAAAGATCTTGGAGTCCTCGTGGACAACAAGTTAAACATGAGCCAACAATGTGATGTGGCGGCAAAAAAAGCCAATGGGATTTTGGCCTGCATCAATAGGAGCATAGTGTCTAGATCTAGGGAAGTAATGCTACCCCTCTATTCCTGCCTTGGTTAGACCACACCTGGAATATTGTGTCCAATTCTGGACACCACAATTGAAGAGAGATATTGACAAGTTGGAATGTGTCCAGAGGAGGGCGACTAAAATGATCAAGGGTCTGGGAACAAGCCCTATGAGGAGCGGCTTAAGGAGCTGGGCATGTTTAGCCTGAAGAAGAGAAGGCTGAGAGGAGATATGATAGCCATGTATATATATGTATCTATTTCTATATATATATATTAGGCCTGGGTAACAACGGAAAAATTTGTTTCTAAAATCGATTCGTTTTTTGGGGTTTTTTGCGTTTCGTTATTTAAAATAATTACAAAATTTTCCTTTTAAAAAGTTCGATATTTACGAAATTTCGTAAATGCGAAAAAAATTAAAAATTAACGAATCGATTTCCGAAACAATAACGAATCGATTCGTTAATGGCGGACGCGACCGCGAAATACGCTAAAAAACCTCCAAAAACTTCTGAAGCTTCCCTCTCCCTCTGTTGTTGACTGTTGGTGTGATATTATAATTTTTTTTACTAATTAAACAAAAAACAACCATAAAACTTGCCCCAGACATGCGGAAATAATAACGAAACGACCTCAAAACAATAACGAAACGAATACAATAACGAAATACGAAGCATTTACAAAACTATTTAAAAATTCGTTTTTTAAAAATTGCTCCAGAATGGTTCGTTATCGTTTTGTAATTGGAAAAATTAACGAATTATTAACGAATTACGAATTAACGAAACGAAACCGCCCAGCCCTAATAGCCATGTATAAATATATGAGAGGAAGCCACAGGGAGGAGGGAGCAAGCTTGTTTTCTGCTTCCTTGGAGACTAGGACGCAATGGAACAATGGCTTCAAACTACAAGCGAGGAGATTCCATCTGAACACGAGGAAGAACTTCCTGACTGTGAGAGCCGTTCAGCAGTGGAACTCTCTGCCGGAGTGTGGTGGAGGCTCCTTCTTTGGAAGCTTTTAAACAGAGGCTGGATGGCCATCTGTCAGGGGTGATTTGAATGCAATATTCCTGCTTCTTGGCAGAATGGGGTTGGACTGGATGGCCCATGAGGTCTCTTCCAACTCTTGGATTCTATGATTCTATGATTCTATGATTTAGGATTTCCTGTATTGTCACCAAAAATAAAACAGACCTGGGGGAAAAACCAACAACATCCACTACCAAAATACAACAAATACTTTTCTCCCAAAGATAAGTCTCAAAGTTAGCTCCTTAAATCCAGTAACACCCAGCTGCAACCCATCTCCTGCACACCTCCACCCTTAATTGCTTTTACCTGTAAACTGTTACTTACAAACTACTCAGCCCTTTAGAACCAAGACTTACATTAACCCTTCCATCACCAACTGCCAGGTCTACCACCATCAACTATGGAACATATGACACACAGCCAGAAGTCATGATAGTTTATTAAAAATAAAAGGTAAAAAGGTTCTTAAAGGCAAAGGTTAATGTTCCAAAAGAGCAATATAATATAGCACTTTGAAGCTTAATCCAAAATGGCACCAGCAAAGCAAAAACCCCAAGAGAACGTGACAAAGTCCTAAGACCATGGACACAAGAACTGCAAGATAATCCAAGCAAACGAGCACAAGCTGCTTGGTTGAGCGAGAAGTTGCTCTGACAAAGGTTTGTCTTCAAACACACTGCTTAATACCCTTTGCAATACATGAAAGCTTTTTTCCAAATAAAGCAGAGAGTAGGCTTGGGCGGTTTCGTTCGTTAATTTCGTAATTCGTTATTAATTCGTATTTAAATTAGCTTACGATCCAATATTGAGCTATGCAGGAATAGTGTGAGGAGTAATTAAGATTCGAAACAATTTTTTCAATTTATTTCGTAATTATTTCGTAATTATTTCGTAATTATTTTGTATTTCTTATATTATTTCGTAATTATTTTCGCATGTCTGGTGCAAGTTTTATAGTGGTTGTTTGTTTTATCACACCAACAGTCAACAACAGAGGGAGAGGGAAGCTTCAGAAGTTCCCCCTGTCCCATTTGGAGGTTTTTTTAGCATATTGCGCAATCGCGTCCGCCATTAACGAATCGATTCGTAATTTACGAAATTTCAGAAATTTCGAAATTTTTGAAAGGAAAATTTCAGAATTCTTTAAAAAAACAAAATGCAAGGGCCCCCTAAAAACAAAATAAGTTTAGAACCAAATTTTTCCGTGGTTACCCAAGCCTACTCTGACCTCCTTCTTGTTAGCAATTCTCACACTCTTTCGAACTCTGAATTCCAAACGGTCAGCATGCTCTAAGGTTCCTATTTCATCAAGGTCAGTCTGTTCGTTAGTGTTATCCAGTTTGCCTTCCTGCTCATTATCAGGCTGAGAACTGTCCTCCTTCTCTGAGTCAATCTGCACCTGACTATTTTCAGTATCAACACTCTCATTCCTTGCTGTGGGAAACTGCACTTCTTCACTGTCTATAACAGGGACATTTTGAACCAGACTGTGAACCTGAGTCCCATCATCCTCATCAGAGACACTCTGTGATTCCAGCTGAGTCACAACAGTAGCCATTGACATCCTCTTTCTTTTCAGTTTATCTGGGAACAGTCTCGGAAATGAGACTTTGGAGAAACTTGCTCCGGTTTTGCCATCTTTGCATCACTTGAAAGTCCTTCAGTAAGTACGATGGCTAAGGACAGGGGTGGCTAAATCGGAATGTTTTTGCATCTGTACAGCACTCCCCAAGTTACAAACATCCGACTTACAAGTGACTCACAGTTAAGAATGGGGCTGTGACAACAGGAAGTGAGAGGAATCTCCTTCTCAGAAGGAAAAATCACCCTTGGAAGAGTCCACGTTGAAGCTTTATCTCCAATTATTGTTTCCACAACAAGCCAAATTTTTCAAAATCTAATTATCACAGGGATAGAATTTGAGGTGAACTCTTCTGAACAGGGGCACCAAAAGGAAAGGACACTCCATAGGGTTGTTTAGCATTCCCTATGCTATCCAAAGCTTTTGTGTGTGTGTATGTTTGGCTCAAGTTACATTAAAAATATACTGATCTTGTTCATAACTTTAGGACTGCCTGTATATTGTATTTCATCACATAATAGTCGCACCCACATTTTGGGGTGTGAAAGGCATGTTTTTGTTTTTTTCACATAATAGTCGCACCCCCGTTTGAGGCTGATTCCTCTTTCCTTCCTTCCATCCATCCTTCCATGTTTCCTTCCTTACTCCTTCCCTCCTCCCTTCTTCTGCCAAAGGCAAGGAAGTTTACAAAACCTCAAATGGAGATCTTTGGAACTCATATCTTCTCTCCTTACTCCTTTTCCCAAAGAATTCCCAGATTTTGCAAACTGTCTTGCCTCAGAAGAAGGAGAAAGGAGAAAAAATGGAGCTCCAGAGAGCCCTATCTTGTAGTTTTTAAACTGTTGTGCTTTCAAAGAAGGAAGGAAGGAAGGAAGGAAAAGAAAATCAGTTCCAAACAGTTCTACAGTTTGAATAAATTAATAAAGAGAAACAGAGCTGTTTGTTTGAGGCTGGATCATCCATAATTCTCCTCCCCTTTTGGAGGCACGGCATTTTGGTTTGGTTTTTTTAAAAATAAAAAACCATATTTTTTTCCTTGCGTAATAGTCACACTTTCCTTTTTTGATGAAACAAAAAAGGTGCAACTCTTATGCAATGAAATAGAAACTGGTATTGCATTTGGGAAAATTTGCTTTTGTTGTTGAACTGCAACGTTTCGAATCTTCCAGCCACGTGGCACTGGGGGATTGTGGGAGTTGTAGTCCAACAGGTAACTTCTCCTACCTCTGCTTTTTTATGTGTTGCTTGCCCACATTCCATATACATGTTTATGCAATTGTCTTATGGCAACCTTATGAATTTCATAGTGTTTTCTTAAGCAAGGAATGCCCACCCAGTGGTGGTTTTGCCAATCCTTTCTTCAGAAATGCAGGAGTTAGTATTCATGCGTGGCCTCCCATCCAAATACAAACCAGGGCCAACCCTGCTTAGCTTTCAAGATCAGAAAAGGATAGATTCAACTGGGGAACACATCATTGCCCAAAGTCATGCCTATCTTCCCCAATCCTTCCTTTATGAACTTCCTTTTCAATATCTGCCTCTCTGCTTCATTCCCATCAGCCTGTCTTCTTGTGGCATCGACTACGAGGGAATCACCCATTTATCCAAATACCTCTTCTCTTGTCCCCAAATAGAGGAGATCAGGTAAGTCCAGTTAGCAGTAAAAGAAAGGCAATTTAAAACAAGGAATTTCTCCCAAAATATTATTTTGGTGGAGTCTCCCTTATCCACAAATGCTTGGGACCAGAAGTGTTTGGGATTTTGGACTTTTTTTCAGTTTTTGAAATACTTTTATTTGCATTTGCATTCCTAATCTTGGAGATGGGACCCAAGCCTAAACCCAAAACCCATTGACGTTTCATATAAACTTCCTAAAGGCAGTCTAAGGGTCATTTGATATTGTGGTGAAGTGTGAATTTTAATCTACAGTCATGTATGATTATAGATAGATGTGCCTCTAAGAGTTAAGAAACATTGAAACCATCAAGCTTCTTCTATACTTCAATAAACTTGTTACAGTTTCTTCTAAAGCCAAGTCTCTGTTACAAATACTTTCAAGTTAAGCCATGCTACATATTGAAGAAAGAACAAATCAATATTACAAGCTGTTAGTTGTGTTATCAATTTAATAAGTCCTTACAAAGTGGTGGCTCCTTTACAAACTTTTACAAATTGGTGGCATCATTACAAATTGGTGGCCTTTACAGATATGCAATATCCTTAATACGTTTGTGGATGAAACCAAGTTTGTGAACCAGCAGAAAGCAAAAGCCTCACTATCACAACTCAACATTTTAGATTTTGGAGTAATTGAGATTTTGGAGCATCAAATAAGGCAGGCATAGGCAAACTTTCTATCTTGGGGTCTGCATGCTAGTACTCCCAGCCAGGAGGACTGACTGCCCAGTGATGGAAGGAAGGAAGGGAAGGAGGAAGGAAAGAGAGAAGGAAGGAAGGAAGGAAGGACAAAAGGGAGGAAGGGAGGGATGGAAGGAGAAAGAGGGAGAAGAGAGGAGAAGAAAGAAAAGGGAAGGAAGGAAAGAAGACAAGAGGAGGAAGAAGAGAAGGGAGGGAAGGGGAAGGAAGGAGAAGGAGGAAAAGAGGGAAGGAAGGATGAAAGTGTGGAAGGGAGAAAGGAGGGAGAAAGAAGGAAGGAAGGAGGGAGGAAAGAGAGAAGGAAGGAAAGACAAAAGGGAAAGAAGGAAGGAAGAAGAAAGAGTTGGGGGAAGAGGGAGGAAGAGGGAAGAAGAGGATGAAAGGGTGGAATGGAAGGAAGGAGGGAGGGAAAAAGGGAGGAAGGAAGGAATGGAGGGAAGGAAAAGGAAGGAAAAAAGAAGAAAGGGAAGGGGGAAGGAGGATGGAAAGAAAAAGAGGGAAAGAGGAAGGAAGGAAGGAAAGAGAGAGGAAGGAAGGATGAAAGAGAGGAAGGGAAGAAGGAAGGAGAAGAGGGAGGAAGGAGGGAGGGAGAGGGAAGGAGGAGGAAAGAGAAAATGAAGGAAAGAGAAAGGGAAAGAAGAGAAGGAAAAGGGAAGGAAGAAGGAAGAGAAGGAAGGAAGGAAGGAAGGAAGGAAGGAAGGAAAAGGAGGAAGGAGGAAGGAAGGAAGGAAGGGAAGGAGGAGGAAAAGAAGGAAGGAAAGGAAGAAGAAGGATGAAAGGGTGGAAAGGAAGGAGGGGAAAGAGAGAAGAAGAAGAAGGAAGAAAAGGGGAGAAGGAAGAAGGAAAGAAGGAAGGAAGGAAGGAAGGAGAGAAAGAGAGAAAGGGAGGGAGGAAAGGAAAGGAAGGAGGAAAGGAAGGAGAAAGAGAGAGGAAGGAAGGGAGGAAAGGGAGAAGGAAGGAAGGACAAAAGAAGGAGAGGAGGAGAGAGGGATAGAGGGAGAGAGAGGGAAGGAAGAATGAAAGGGTGAAGGGAAGAGGGAAGGAGAAAGAGGGAAGAAGGAAGAGAGGAAAGAGAGAAGGAAGAAAGACAAGAAGGGAAGGAAGGAAGGAGAAAGAGAGAAACGGGAGGGTAGGTAAGAGGAAAGGAAGGATAAGGGAAGGGAATGGGGAGAAAGAGAGAGGGAAGGGGGAGGAAAGGAGAAAGGAAAGACAAATGAAGGAAGGAAAGAGGGAGGAGGGAAGAGGAAGGGAGAGGGAAGGAAGGATGAAAGGGTTGAAGGGAATGGAGAGGAGAGGAAGGAGGGAGGAAAAGAGGAAGGAAAGACAAGGAAGGAAGGAAGGAAGGAGAAAGAGGAGAGGAAGAGAGGTAAGAGGGAAAGGAAGGATGAAAGGGTGGAAGGGAATGGTGGAGAAAGAGAGGGAAGGGAGGGGGAAAGAAGAGAAGGAAGGGAAGGAAGAGAAGGAGGAAGGAGAAGGAGAGAGGGAAGGAGGAAGTAAAGAGAGAAGGAAGGATGAAAGGGTGGAAGGGAATGGTGGAGGGGAGAGAAGGGAAGGGAGGGAGGAAAAGGAGAAGGAAGGAAACAAAAGGGAAGGAAGGAAGGAGAAAGAGGGAGAGGGAAGGAGGAAGGAAAGAGGAAAGGAAGGATGAAAGGATGGAAGGGAATGGGGGAGGGAGAAAGAGGGAGGAAAGGTAGGGAGGAAGGAAGGAAAGAGAGAAGGAAGGAAAGACACAAGGGAAGGAAGGAAGGAGAAAGAGGGAGAGAGGGAAGGAGGTAGGTAAGTGGTTAGGAAAGAAGGAGTTCAGGGAGAAAGAGGGATTGAAGGAAGGAACGAGAGAAGGAAGGATAGGATGGTGAAAGAGAGGAGGGCCTGAGAAAAGAGCCCAAGGGGCCTGGGCTTCCCCATACCTGATACAAGGCATCCATTCATTCCTTGCATCACTTCTATAGTTGAATGGAACCTTTAATACCTGGAATCCTTTGTGTACATTGTACTCTCTGATATGTATTTTTATTGATTAATTTTTAAAATCGCAGTACTTTAATTGGGTGATTGTTTCTCTTTCCAGCTTATCTGAAAACAACATTGGATACAAAGGTGTGATGGTTCTTATAGAGCAGTTGCCGCCATGTTCACAACTCAAGAAGATCGAGTGAGTCCCCATGGGGAGATAGAAATAAAGTTTTACTTACTGCTGCTTTGGTTGATCCCAAATCCAATGAAGTGTTGGACATTTTTGGGATTATGCTTGGGTTTGCATGGTCCTGGTAGCCCCCAATTTCCTCTTCCCAAAATGGGGGTGGATTATTCCAATGGTTAAGATGGAACAGAAGCAATTTAGGTTTTGCAATGTCTTTGTTTTAGATTAAAGGTCTGCAACATCGGCGACGGTGCCTTCAAGATGCTTGCCTTTCGCGTCATCCGTTGTCCTTTGATTGAAGAGATAATGTGAGTTTGAACGGAAAGCAGGAGACCTCCAGCTTTGCCTAAAGATCATAGGTCATGCTGATTGGGGATAATGGGAATTGTGGTCAGGCATATTTGGAAGGTCCAGGTTGGAGAAGACTTCTTGATCTCTTGTTGTTCATTCGTTCAGTCATCTCTGACTCTTTGTGACCTCATGGACCAGTCCACGCCAGAGCTCCCTGTCGGCCATCACCACCCCCAGCTCCTTCAAGGTCAGTCCAGTCACTTCAAGGATGCCATCCATCCATCTTGCCCTTGGTCGGCCCCTCTCCCTTTTACCTTCCACTTTCCCCAGCATAATTGTCTTCTCTAGGCTTTGCTGTCTCCTCATGATGTGGCCAAAGTACTTCAACTTTGTCTCTAGTATCCTTCCCTCCAATGAGCAGTCGGGCTTTATTTCCTGGAGGATGGACTGGTTGGATCTTCTCGCAGTCCAAGGCACTCTCAGAACTTTCCTCCAACACCACAGCTCAAAAGCATCTCTCTTCCTTCGCTCAGCCTTCCCTCAGGTCCAGCTCTCACATCCGTAGGTTACTACAGGGAAGACCATGGCTTTGACTAGGCAATGGATCTTTGTTGCCAGTCTGATGTCTCTACTCTTTACTATTTTATCGAGACTGGACATTGCTCTCCTCCCAAGAAGGAAGCGTCTCCTGATTTCCTGGCCACAGTCTGCATCTGCAGTCATCTTTGCACCTAGAAATACAAAGTCTGTCACGGCCTCCACGTTTTCCCTCTATTTCCCAGTTGTCAATCATTCTTGTTGCCATAATCTTGGTTTTTTTACGTTTAGCTGCACCGGCTTTTGCGCTTTCTTCTTTCACCTTGATTAGAAGGCTCCTCAGCTCCTCCTCGCTTTCGGCCATCAGAGTGGTGTCATCTGCATATCTGAGGTTGTTAATGTTTCTTCCAGCAATTTTCACCCCAGCTTTGCATTCATCAAGCCCCGCACATCCTCGCATGATGTGTTCTGCATACAAGTTATCTCTAGATCTGCCAATTTTGGTTGGTGGATCAGCTGCCTTTGCGCCCTGTGTTTGGAGAAGGGAAAGTGGCATATACATCACTTTACAGAGAGTTAAAACACTACATAACCACATTTGAATTTCTTTCCTGTTCCTGATTTGAAAGGGTAATTCGTATTTAATTGTGTGGTACATACTTGGAATGTAGTTGTTATACTCCAGAAACTTTGTTTATGTGGCTGCCACAAACTTGGTTGAATTAGTGGTTTGCCTACTCTGGAATGTGCAACATATCATTGTCCTTCTTTAGGGGTCCCTTTCAAATCTTTGATACTGCATCTGTCATATACATATATGTGTGTGTGTGAATGGCTGGATGGCCCTTTGTCAGGAGGGCTTTGATTATGTTTTCTTGCCCTGGTGAAAGGAGTTGGACTGGATGGCCTTAAGGCAGCATTTCTCAACCTGGGAAGTAAAGACCCCTGGGAAGTCAAGACTTTGGTCACCAGGGTCACCAAAGACCACCAGAAACACAGTATTTTCTGTTGGTCATGGGAGATATACAATGAAAAACTACAGCAACATATGCTATAGCACAGGGGTCGGGAACCTATGGCTCGCGAGCCAGGTGTGGCTCTTTTGATGAGTGCATCTGGCTCGCCCGTGTATTCCCTTGGAAAGGAACTGAGCCCGCCTTTGGCTGATTAGGCCCCGAAGGAAGGGAGGAGGGAAGGAAGGGAGAAGGGAAGCAACGGGGAATCTTTTCCCCACCGAAAGCCCACCTTGACCCGTTGCGGCCTAGTCGCCTCCGCCGATCCCCGGCCTCGCGTAGCGGCCTCGCCGGGCCCGGAGCAGGGAAAGCGGGGAAGAGGGGAGAGCGAGAGGGGCCTTTCTTCAGCTACGGCGCCCGAGAAGCGAAGCTCTGGCCGAGGGAGGGAAAGGGGCGGAGCGTGCCACGCCCCCTCTCGGGCCGCCGGGGGAACTGCACCGCACCGAGGCCGTTTCCGCCTCCCTTCTCGCCCTGACTACAGCTCCCGGCATGCCCCGCGATAGCCCTCCAGGCTAAGGGATGCCGGGAAATGTAGTCTGAAAGGGAAAAAAGGGAATTAGACACCATTCCCATGTTTATAGGATTGAATTTCCTGAGGCCTTGCAAAACTACAGTTCCCATCTTTGTTGTATTGTGTTTCCTGAGGCCTTGCAAAACTATAACTCCCATGTTTCATAGCATTGAGTTTCCTGAGGCCTTGCAAAACTACAATTCCCATGTTTCTCTGGGTAAACAGGTAAACGCCCCCTTTTGAATCAGTCTGCTCGGTCATTAGCTCAAAGCTAACCCTTCAACGAAGAAGATGGCGAAAAGAAAAAAAGATGATGAGTATCGTACATTTCAGGATGAATGGACTGAAGAATTCGCCTTTGTAGAGAGAGCAGGTTCTGCGGTGTGCCTAATCTGCAATGACAAAATTGCATCGATGAAACGGTGGAATGTAAAGCGGCACTTCGACACACGCCATGCTACCTTTGCATCAAAATACCCTGCGGGAGACAGCAGGAAGAAAGCGTGCCAAGAGCTGCTGAGCAGGGTGCAAGCTAGCCAGCAGCAACTCCGCGTATGGACCCGGCAAGGCGACTATAATTCCGCTAGTTTTGCTGGATCTTTAGCAATAGTAAGGAACGGAAAACCATTCACAGATGGCGAGTATGCTAAAACGTTGATGCTGGATGTAGCCAATGAACTTTTTGATGATCTTCCGAACAAAGATAAGATAATCAAACGGATACAAGACATGCCTCTGTCGGCAAGAACTGTTCATGATCGTACCATCATGATGGCAAACCAAGTGGAGGAAACGCAAGTGAAGGACATAAATGCAGCGCCGTTCTTTTCCCTGGCTTTGGATGAGTCAACAGACGTAAGTCATTTGGCGCAGTTCAGTGTGATTGCAAGATATGCTGCTGGTGACACACTGCGCGAAGAAAGTCTTGCTGTTCTGCCAATAAAAGGGTCCACAAGAGGTGAGGATTTATTCAAGTCTTTCATGGAGTTCGCTCGTGAAAAAAATCTACCTATGGATAAACTTCTCTCAGTGTGTACTGATGGTGCTCCGTGTATGGTGGGGAAAAACAAAGGATTTGTGGCGCTTCTCCGTGAACATGAAAATAGACCCATCCTAAGTTTCCATTGCATTCTACACCAGGAGGCACTTTGTGCTCAGATGTGTGACGGTCAGCTTGGCGAAGTGATGTCGCTGGTCATTCGTGTGATCAACTTTATTGTTGCCCGAGCCTTAAATGATCGCCAGTTTAAAACACTGCTGGATGAAGTTGGAAATAACTACCACGGTCTGCTTTTGCACAGCAATGTGCGTTGGTTGTCACGAGGGAAGGTGCTCAGCCGTTTTGCGGCTTGCCTGAACGAAATCCGGAATTTCCTTGAAATGAAAGGCATCGAGCATCCTGAGCTAGCCGAAACTGAGTGGCTCCTCAAGTTTTACTATCTCGTGGATATGACTGAACATCTGAACCAGCTCAACGTGAAAATGCAAGGCATTGGAAATACAGTGTTATCCCTTCAACACGCCGTGTTTGCTTTTGAAAACAAGCTGGAGCTCTTTATCATGGATCTTGAAACGGGTCGTTTACTACATTTTGAAAAACTGAGACAATTTAAAGATGCATGCACAGCAAGTGAGCCCACTCAAAACTTTGATCTCCACCAGCTAGCTGGCTTCACATCCAGTCTCCTACAGTCGTTCAAAGCACGCTTCGGAGAATTTCGTGAGCACACTCATCTCTTTAAGTTCATCACCCATCCAAACGAGTGTTCACTGAACACAGCCGACCTGAGTTACATTCCTGATGTCTCCCTCAGAGATTTTGAAGCAGAAGTGGCTGACCTGAAGGCCTCAGACATGTGGGTGAATAAGTTCAAGTCACTGAATGAAGATTTGGAAAGAATCGCACGACAGAAAGCGGAGTTGGCGAGCAAGCACATGTGGACAGAAATGAAAAAACTTCAACCTGAAGACCAGCTGATTATCAAAACTTGGAACGCGCTTCCTGTCACATACGACACACTGAAGCGTGTGAGTATTGCTGTATTGACCATGTTTGGATCTACGTATTCATGTGAGCAGTCATTTTCACATCTTAAAAACATCAAGTCCAACCTACGATCACGTTTAACGGATGAAAGCCTCAACGCCTGCATGAAGCTTAACCTCACCAAGTACCAACCAGACTACAAAGCCATCAGCAAATCCATGCAGCACCAGAAGTCGCATTAATGGTGAGTATTATAACAACATTATTTAAAAGAATAAATTCAGAGGCTTATTATACTCACATTTAGTTGAATTCAGTCTTAAAATATATTATATGGCTCTCACTGAAATAAATTTCCAAATATTTTGCTTTCATGGCTCTCTGAGTCAAAAAGGTTCCCGACCCCTGCTATAGCAGGATAGATTTAGATAATAATAATAATAATAATAATAATAATAATAATAATCTTTATTTATACCCCGCCACCATCTCCCTGATGGAGACTCGGGGCGGCTTAAATGAGGCCAAGCCCAAACAACAAATTACAACAGAGTAAAACCAAAAACGCAAACAATAAACAACAATAAAACATGTGAATATATATATATATATAAATGCTCTGTGCATAATGAGTACCTTAAAAACAAAAGAACCAATGAACGAAATCACACCAAATTTGGCAACAAAACGTCTCACAACACAAGGAGTGACCATCACTCAAACATTATGATTTTGTCATTTGGGAGTTGTAGTTGCTGGGATTTATAGTTCACCTACAATCAAAGAGCATTCTGAACTCCATCAACGATGGAATTGAACCAAAACTTGGCACACAGAACTCCCATGACCAACAGAACACACTGGAAGGGTTTGGTGGGCAATGACCTTGAGTTTGGGAGTTGTAGTTCAGGTACATCCAGAGAGCACTATGGACTCAAACAATGAGGAATCTGGACCAAACTTGGCACAAGCACTCAATACGCCCAAATATGAACACAGATGGAGTTTGGGGGAAATAGACCTTGACATTTGGGAGTTGTAGTCACTGGGATTCACAGTTCACCTACAATCAAAGAGCATTCTGAACCCCACCAACGACAGAATCGGGGCAAACTTCCCACACAGAACCCCATGACCAACAGAAAATACTGTGTTTCTGGTGGTCTTTGGTGACCCTGGTGACCCCCCCCCCCGGGGTCTTGACTTCCCAGGTTGTGAAATGCTGCCTTAAGGCCATCCAGTCCAACTCCTTTCATCAGGGCAAGAAAACATAATCAAAGCCCTCCTGACAAAGGGCCATCCAGCCATTCACAAACACATATATATGTATATGACAGATGCAGTATCAAAGATTTGAAAGGGACCCCTAAAGAAGGACAGTTATATGTTGCATATTCCAGAGTAGGCAAACCAGATAATCTCCACATCAACACTGGCAAAGAAACAGCAAGAAATACTGTTTACTCGCAAGCGGAAAGACAAACATATATTAGAAACCAACACTTTCTCATTACTTTATTTTCCAGATCACCAGACTGGGCCACAGCAATGCGTGGCAGGGGACCACTAGTAACAATATAAAATTGCAGTAAGCACAAACACAGTGACAATGGGCGGGCTACGTGTAATAATTAAAAGAAAAATGTCCTAAAAGTTTTGGCACTTTAATACACTTTTCCCATGCTTTTATGATAGAACCAATTAGGAAATGACATTGATAATCCAAGAACAAAAATCATGTTACATAGAGTTATTTTTTTTTTTTTTTTTTTTTTTTTTTTTTTTTTTTTTTGTTTTTTTTTTTTTTTTTTTTTTTTTTTTTTTATTTTTTTTTTTTCTTTTTTTTTTCTTTTTTTTTTTTTTTTTTTTTTTTTTTTTTTTTTTTTTTTTTTTTTTTTTTTTTTATTTTTTTTTTTTTTTTTTTTTTTTTTTTTTTTTTTTTTTTTTTTTTTTTTTTTTTTTTTTTTTTTTTTTTTTTTTTTTTTTTTTTTTTTTTTTTTTTTTTTTTTTTGTTTTTTTTTTTTTTTTTTTTTTTTTTTTTTTTTTTTTTTTTTTTTTTTTTTTTTTTTTTTTTTCTTCTTCTTTTTTTTGTTTTGTTTTTTTTTTTTTTTTTTTTTTTTTTTTTTTTTTTTTTTTTTTTTTGTTTTTTTTTTTTTTTTTTTTTTTTTTTTTTTTTGTTTTTTTTTTTTTTTTTTTTTTTTTTTTTTTTTTTTTTTTTTTTTTTGTCTTTTTGATTTTTTTTATTTTTTTTTTTTTTTTTTTTTTTTTTTTTTCTTTTATGATAGAACCAATTAGGAAATGACATTGATAATCCAAGAACAAAAATCATGTTACATAGAGTTATTGGAACAATCAGGGATGACATGGTTAAAGGGGCTGAAATTTATGCCCATTCTTCTCATATCTGTGAAGGCTGAATCCACTCTGGGTTTTAGTCTGAACTGTAAAGGTTATGTGTAAAGCACTGGGACTGTTTTGCACATATCGCTCAAGTCTTCTGATTGTTGTTGTGGGTCTTCAAGTCATTTCGGATTAATGGAAACTTTCAGGTGATCCTATCGCAGGTTTTCTGGGGCTAAGAAAGTGTGACTTGCTTGGGTTGCCCAATGGGTTTCCACAATCGAGAAGGGAAATCCAACTCTGGTCAATGTTCAAACCACTATGCCACACTGGCTGTCAACTCCATGGCTTCAGTGTGTTAGGTAGAAATGGTACCGCATTTCTAGCCAAAGAGAAATACTATTTGAAGAACATATGGAATATTGATAGCACATGGGAAATGACTGGATGTTGTGAGGCAGTACCTAAGGGTGTGTGTTAATGGCTGAGTCATAACCATGTGAGGGTTATTGCAAAGGGGTTGCATCAGCCAGTGTCCCTTACTGATGACCTATCAGTAGGTGACTATATAAGAAGGAGGAAAGTATCCATCTTCCTCTCTCCTGCGTGACTCAGTGTAAGAATCATAGAATCATAGAATCCTAGAGTTGGAAGAGACCTCATGGGCCATCCAGTCCAACCCCATTCTGCCAAGAAGCAGGAATATTGCATTCAAATCACCCCTGACAGATGGCCATCCAGCCTCTGTTTAAAAGCTTCCAAAGAAGGAGTCTCCACCACACTCTGGGGCAGAGAGTTCCACTGCTGAACGGCTCTCACAGTCAGGAAGTTCTTCCTCATGTTCAGATGGAATCTCCTCTCTTGTAGTTTGAAGCCATTGTTCCTTGTCCTAATCTCCATGGAAGCAGTAAACAGCTTGCTCCCTCCTCCCTGTGGCTTCCTCTCACATATTTATACATGGCTATCATATCTCCTCTCATCCTTCTCTTCTTCAGGCTAAACATGCTCCAGCTCCTTAAGCCGCTCCTCATAGGGCTTGTTCTCCAGACCCTTGATCATTTTAGTCGCCCTCCTCTGGACACATTCCAGCTTGTCAATATCTCTCTTGAATTGTGGTGCCCAGAATTGGACACAATATTCCAGGTGTGGTCTAACCAAAGTGGAATAGAGCATGGGGAGCATGACTTCCCTAGATCTAGACACTATGCTCCTATTGATGCAGGCCAAAATCCCATTGGCTTTTTTTGCCGCCGCATCACATTCCTGGCTCATGTTTAACTTGTTGTCCACGAGGACTCCAAGATCTTTTTCACACGTACTGCTCTCGAGCCAGGCATCGTCCCCCATTATGTCTATTCTGTATGTGACTCTCTGAGGATCTGATTGTTTGTAACAACAATCCTGAAAGTGGGTCTGCATATTCTGATTGTACACTGGTATATATTACAATGGTTAAGATTGCTTCCAAGACGCTTGCTATCCAGCTTGCAATGGTTCAGGGAAGTCATGATTTGGAAACTATAAATTATTTCACAAACCCACCCCTCAATAAACTGCTTCTTCTGACATGGGAAAATGTGTGTTTTAACTCATGCCCAGCTATTCTGGTTCCCTTTAGCTTGTCTTGGAACAAACTTGGAGATGAAAGTGCGGCAGATCTGGCAAAGGTCCTCCCAAGGATGGCACGGTTGCGAATCCTGGAGTGAGTACTGCATTATTTCCTATTACAAAGAGAGCTGAACCATGTTCTTTTTTGGAGATATTTTTGGAGAAACAAGAGGCATTGGGACCATAAAATCCTCGTTTCTTCTTGATGAATATTTTTTATTAAGCAGTTATATAAATAAAAATGTAATGTTCGTTTGTGGGATTAACAGAACTCAAAAACCACTGGACGAATTGACACCAAATTTGGCAGCAAAACACATTCTAATCCGATCTATGTCTTTTAAACAAAAAAAAACTGTAAAAAAAATGAAGGGGAAATAACTTCAAACTCCCCAAAAAGAAAAATGCCTTACAGAGCATGCGCAAAAGCCACTCTCCCCATTGCACCAACTGTTGTGAGGAAAGAGAAGCCTCGCCATGGAGTCACTTTCCATGCAGGAGTTATTTTTCTTTTGTGGAGGGATTGAGGAAAGGAAAGAGGGAAAGAAGGAGAAGGCCTGGCCCACCGGAGGGCTCGGGGCTTGGCGAGGCAAGCCCCGGCAGCAGCTGGAGCCACCACACTGGCTCCATGAGGCCCACGTGACTACCAGGCAATTCTTTCCCCCAAGACCAGAGGATTGCAAGGCAAGCCTGACTGCAGGAGCAGCTGCACACACACACACACACCCGGTTGGGTGAAGGGTGGATGTGAACCATGGGAAGGCCAGCAACTCTCCCACGGGCTCCACATCCCCCTTTCACCACCACCCCCAAACCCTTAAAAACCCTTACAAACGGTCCCGGAGGAAGGAGGGGAAGAAAGGGAAAGGGGAGAAGAAATGAAAAAAAGGATTGGTGATGAGAAGAGAAGATTATGAATGGAAGTAAAGGTAGAAGGAAAGAAAGATGAAGGAAGGAAAAGGAGGCAGGGATGAGAGAGGAAAGGAAGGGAAGAGGCAGGGAAGGAAGAAAGAAAAAAGAAAGAAAGAAAGAAAGAAAGAAAGAAAGAAAGAAAGAAAGAAAGAAAGGGGGGAACTGGTGAAGGGAAGAGAAGAATATAGAATCAGAGAGCCCTAGAGTTGGGAGTCACCTGGTGGGCGATCCAGGCCAGCCCCATTCTTCGAAGAAGCAGGAAAATCATGTTCAGAGCACCCCCAACAGATGGCCACCCAGCCTCTGTTTCAAAGAGGCTTTTTTTAGTGTTTTGGCCAGCATGAATATAACTGAAAAGCCTTGTAGCTTTATTTTCTATACCACCTTGCACCTTAACGGCCTGGCTCCTACTAGCCAGCAGGAAACCTTTGGTGGGAGGAGTTCCCTAGCCCAGATTGCTTATTGTCTGCAAATCCTCTGTTTTCTGAGGGCCACAGCAACGCGTGGCCGGGTACAGCTAGTTGCCAAATAAAAATAAAAGAATTTTACCCTGAGGGATAGAATAAGATGGGAGGAATATAATTATTATTAGTTGGTTAATTCTTTACTGATATCTAATATGTTGCAGAGAACAATATAAAGTGTTTGTTGGGACTCAAAAGCGGCTAACATTAAAAATACTACAATGCAACATAAAATATACAAACATACAAACATTAAAGCAGTACTAAACATCATTAGTCTTAAAGCAATTCAGAGTAAACCCATACAAACATTAGAAAACAACTCAGCTGTTGTGACTCAGCTGGAACCACAGAATGCCTTGGATGAGGATGATGGGATTTGTTGCATCCCAGATCAAGAAACGAGACCATAAGATTAAATCCACCACACTGGGCTGTAGGAAAAACAATCCTTGTTTATTGATGAAAAATTGGTTACAGAAGAAAGGTAAATGCAAAGTCAAAAAGCCACAATAGAAACACAGCAGTCAGGAAAATCTCTGAACTTGAGCAAAATTCCAAAAGCCACAATACAAGAACTAGGAACCTGTTAGCCTCTTGCTAACCATGAACTTGAAAACTAGAAGCCTCTGGGATTACCGGCCAGGGAACACAGGAATTCTGTCAAGGCACAGCCACAGTCCCAAACGTTGCTTGATCTAAAGAGACACCCGGCAGGAGGCCCCTTAAACCAAAGAAGCTATTCTGCGTAACGCCCCTTGACTTTGAAGCCTGGGCCTGTCTCTCCTGTAATCTATTTGACCTTCGTAGAAACTGTGAATCATTCCTGTCTCTAGCTATCTGTTCTCTTCGGTCCTCATTAAAAAAACCCAGGTGGAGAGCTATCACAGCTGGATTCCAAAACATTTTCCTCCGGCTGTTCAGTTTCACTTTCCTCGCCGCTGATCTCAGCATCAACAACAGTTTCCACACTGTGAGGGAGAGCTTGCTCTGTTGGAAATACTATCAGAGAATCAGGTTCACACAGATCAGGCTGAACCCCAACAGGATTCAGGTTCAAAATATCCCTGTTGTATACAGTGAGGAATAGGAGTTTCCCACAGCAAGGAATGAGGCTGTTGTTGTTGAAACTAGCCAGGTGCAGGTGCAAATTGACTCAGAAAAGGAGGACAGTTCTCAGCCTGATAATGAGCAGGAAGGCCAACAGGCTGACACTAACGAACAGACTGATTTTGACGATATGGGAACCTTAGATTGAGCTGACCGTTTGGAATTTAGAGTTCGAAGGAGTGTGAGAATAGCTAACAAGAAGGAGGCCAGAGGCCAAATAAATGCCTTCATGTTTTGCAAAGGGTATTAAGCAGAAGGTTTGGGACCAAACCTTTGTCAGAGCAACTTTTTGTTTACCTAAGAAGCTTGAATTTTCTTGCCTGGATTATCTAGCAGTTCTTGTGTTCACGGTCTCAGGACTTAGTCATGTTCTCATGGGATTTTGTTTTGCTGGTGCCTTTTTGAATTATGCTCCAAGGTGTTATTTTCTGTTGATCTTTTGGAACATTACTTTTGCTTTTAAGAACTTTTTTATCTTTTGTTCTTTAATGAACTATAAAGACTTTGGTGTTTTCCGCAAGGTGAATCTACTCTGAGGTGCGACATCAGCAGTCCTTGACATAACCTTTAAAAAATTCTGCCTAAATAAAGTAATAATAAATAAATAAATAAAAACCTATGGTTTCCATAGGGGACTGTTGGAGGTATCCATTCTACTCATTTAGCATAGTTTGATATTGCATTAACCATCATAGTGTCTAGGTCCAGGGAACTATTCTGCTTTGGTTAGACCACCTGGAATATTGTGTCCAATTCTGGGCACCACAATTCAAGAGAGATATTGACAAGCTGGAATGTGTCCAGAGGAGAGCGACTAAAATGATAAAATGTCTGGAGAACAAGCCCTATGAGGAGCGGCTTAAGGAGCTGGGCATGTTTAGCCTGAAGAAGAGAAGGCTGAGAGATATGATAGCCATGTATAAATATGTGAGAGGAAGCCACAGGGAGGAGGGAGCAAGCTTGTTTTCTGCTTCCTTGGAGACTAGGACGCAGGAACAATGGCTTCAAACTACAAGAGAGGAGATTCCATCTGAACATGAGGAAGAACTTCCTGACTGTGAGAGCCATTCAGCAGTGGAACTCTCTGCCCCGGAGTGTGGTGGAGGCTCCTTCTTTGGAAGCTTTTAAACAGAGGCTGAATGGCCATCTGTCAGGGGTGATTTGAATGCAATATTCCTGCTTCTTGGCAGGGGGTTGGACTGGATGGCCCATTAGGTCTCTTCCAACTCTTCGATTCTATGATTCTATGATCATAACTTTGCTGTATGAAATCCTGAGATTTGTATTTTGGTGGGGATTTTTTCCCCTAGGAAATTCTAGTGCAGATTTTCAGGGAATGGGCATGAAAGCAGAACACTTTAAGGACCTCACCAAACTATAAATCCTCCGAAGTATGGAGTTTTGCAAGTTGCTAATAGTATCTATTAGGCATGTGCAATCCATGGTTCTAAAAAGTACTTACAAAACTAAAGTTCCGGTGGTGAAAACAAGGGGGGCGCTGGTGCTTTGCTTCTACAGTGTTGCTAAAGTTCTGGTGGTGAAACTTTCAGAACTCTAACACAACTTTCAAAATTTCATTATAAATGGCAGTTCCTAATAGGTTCTGTCATAAAAATCACCAATAATGAAATAATAATGAAATTTTGAAAGTTTTGTTAGAGTTCTGAAATTTTCACCACCAGAACTTTAGCAACACTGTAGAAGCAAAGCAACAGCGCCCCCTAGTGTTCACCACCAGAACTTTAGTTTCATAAGTACTTTAGAACCATTTAGAACCATGGATTGCACATGCCTAGTATCTATAGTTGTGGATGTATAATAAACTGTGAACATCCTGTGAACATCCTGCGGCTGCTCCATGATGACATGATGGCAACAGTCTTGGACAGCAGTGGCTCCCAAAGTGACCCATTTAAGGTGGAATCGGGTGTCAAACAGGGATGTGTTATTGCCCCAACTCTATTCTCCATCTTCATCGCTATGATACTTCACCTTGTTGATGGGAAGCTTCCCACCGGAGTGGAAATAATCTATCGGACAGATGGCAAGCTATTCAACCTCAGCAGACTGAAAGCCAAAACCAAGGTTACAACAACATCTGTTATAGAACTCCAGTATGCTGATGACAATGTCGTCTGTGCGCATTCAGAAGAAGATCTACAAGCCACTCTAAACACCTTCGCAGAAGCATACGAGAAGCTCGGCCTGTCATTGAACATTGAGAAAACCAAGGTGCTGTTCCAGCAGACACCAGCCAATCCCTCTCCAATGCCAGTGATACAGCTTAATGGTGTAACATTAGAAAATGTTGATCATTTCCGCTACCTTGGCAGCCACCTCTCCACCAAAGTCAACATCGACACCGAAATACAACACCGCCTGAGCTCTGCAAGTGCAGCATTTTTCCGAATGAAGCAGAGAGTGTTTGAGGACCGGGACATCCGTAGGGAGACCAAGGTGCTTGTTTATAAAGCTATTGTCCTCCCAACCCTGCTATATGCCTGTGAGACGTGGACTGTCTACAGACGTCACATGCAACTCCTGGAACGATTCCATCAGCGCTGCCTCCGGAAAATCCTGCAAATCTCCTGGGAGACAAGCGGACAAACGTCAGTGTGCTGGAAGAAGCAAAGACCACCAGCATTGAAGCGATGGTCCTCCAACATCAACTCCGCTGGGCCGGCCACGTTGTCCGGATGCCTGACCACCGTCTCCCAAAGCATTTGCTCTACTCCGAACTTAAGAACGGAAAATGGAATGTTGGTGGACAGGAAAAGAGATTTAAAGATGGGCTCAAAGCCAACCTTAAAAACTCTGGCATAGACACTGAGAACTGGGAAGCCCTGGCCCTTGAGCGCTCCAGCTGGAGGTCAGCTGTGACCAGCAGTGCTGCAGAATTTGAGGAGGCACGAGTGGAGGGTGAAAGAGAGAAACGTGCCAGGAGGAAGGCGCGTCAAGCCAACCCCGGCCGGGACCGCCTTCCACCTGGAAACCAATGCCCTCACTGCGGAAGAAGATGCAGAGCAAGAATAGGGCTCCACAGCCACATACGGACCCACAGGGAAATCCATAATGGAAGACCATCTTACTCGTCCAACGAGGGATCGCCTAAGTAAGTAATAATAAACTGTTATTTGTCCAGAAGGCAGTGTGTTGGTCATGCCATTTAGACTCAACCTGATAAAAAGTGTGGGTTTTTCTCCATGCTATTAATTTCTTCTTTTCTCCCCGCACAAAAAAGTCTGGAAAATAATTGTATCACAGCTAATGGAGCCGAGAAGCTGGCAGAAGAACTCATTCGCTGTCGTGGGATCCAGTCCGTACGGTGAGTCTCCTATGGAAAGATATCTGCCAGCTATCATTTAGTAGGCAATGGTATGCCCAGTTTTATTTTATGTGAGCCTGATGGCCTTTGGGGATGATGGGACACTATTTATTTATTTGTCGTGTCAGAGCAACCAGTCCATTATATTACATTTCTAACAGAACAAAGCAAACAAACAGACAAATACAAAACTTGTGATTTTGGTAGTTGCTTAAATGTCCTTTGACCAGTATCTGGCCACTTGGAGTGCTTCCAGTGTTGCTGCAAGAAGGTCCTCCATTGTGCATGTGGCAGGGCTCAGGGTGCATTGCAGCAGGTGGTCTGTAGTTTGCTCCTCTCCGCACTCGCATGTCGAGGATTCCACTTTGTAGCCCCATTTCTGAAGGTTGGCTCTGCATCTTGTGGTGCCAGAGCGGAGTCTGTTCAGAGCCTTCCAAGTCACCCAGTTTTCTGTGTGCCCAGGGGGGAGTCTCTCATTTGGTGTCAGCCATTGGTTGAGGTTCTGGGTTTGAGCCTGCCACTTTTGGACTCTCGCTTGCTGAGGTGTTCCAGCGAGTGTCTCTGTAGATCTTAGAAAACTATTTCTTGATTTAAGTCGTTGACGTGCTGGCTGATACCCAAACAGGGGATGAGCTGGAGATGTCTCTGCCTTGGTCCTTTCACTATTGGCTGCAACTTCCCGGCGGATGTCAGGTGGTGCAATACTGGCTAAGCAGTGTAATTTCTCCAGTGGTGTAGGGCGCAGACACCCCGTGATAATGCGGCATGTCTCATTAAGAGCCACATCCACTGTTTTAGTGTGGTGAGATGTGTTCCACACTGGGCATGCATACTCAGCAGAAGAGTAGCACAGCGCAAGGGCAGATGTCTTCACTGTATCTAGTTGTGTTCCCCAGGTTGTGCCAGTCAGCTTTTGTATGATATTGTTTCTGGCATCCACTTTTTGTTTGATGTTCAGGCAGTGCTTCTTGTAGGTCAGAGCACGGTCCAGATGGGACACTGAGTACATCCAACCAGTGCCCTTCAAGCACTGCAAACCTAGCACCTCAGATTTTGAGGTCTATCAAAATGAAAGATAACCACAGTTGCATCAAAACAAGAATTTATTTGTTGTTGTTGTTGTTACACTATATGACAAAACTATTCCATTCCTGGTTTGGAAGTGTTATTTCCTGTTTACTTGTGCGATGCTTACTTTGAAAATAGTTGTTATACTGCTGCCTGTGATTGTGTTTCAGGATCAGGGTGCTTTGGATGTGGGGAATGATGTTAATGAGGTTCAAGATGAGTTTCAAAGATGGTCAATGATATCGCTGCAGAGAATGGCCAGGAAATCCCTGGAATGTCCCTGAGGGTGTGGGGATGATGGTGTACTTTCTGAATTGTTACCAGAGAGTTCTCATGAGAGAGAACATGAAAATAGCTCGGCACCTGGCCCAGCTGCAAAACTTAATGAGCAAGTAGATAACGAGCTAAGAGATAGACGAGAAGAAATCAGTCAAAGCAGGAGAGCTGAGCAATGGCTTCAGCGCTCTGCCCAGGCTTCGACAGAAAACAATAACAAAGCCTCAAGTAAAGAGAAACCAATTTCTGACCGCTAGTGACCTAGCTAACGAGGGGATAAAAGTCTCAAGTTTGGGATATGTAGTCGGATGAAGCATCGTTTAGAATCACCAAGAAAGGAGATTCCATCTGAACATTAGGAATAACTTCCTGGCTGTGAGAGCCGTTCAGCAGTGGAACTCTCTGCCCCAGAGTGTGGTGGAGGCTCCTTCTTTGGAAGCTTTTAAACAGAGGCTGGATGGCCATCTGTCAGGGGTGATTTGAATGCAATATTCCTGCTTCTTGGCAGGGGGTTGGACTGGATGGCCCATGAGGTCTCTTCCAACTCTAGGATTCTATGATTCTAAGTTCTCATCCTTGTTCATGGAAGCCTTGCTTTAAAGATTCATGCTAAGATATTTCTTGTTTCTGATGTAGAGATAAAATTTAGGGGTCTTTGCCAGGAGGCAGAGACCAATTAGACTCATCAAAGAGTTATTTTTCCCTGGCGAGACAGAGAAGCATCCCATATTTTTCCCTGATTTCCCAATGAAAAGTCTCACCAGTTGAAGAAAAGCCATCGAGGTTTAATGCGATTCAGCTAAAAAGGATGCAGAGCTGCAATCATTCGCCAAAGCTAAGCATGAGGGGAGTACACCAATACAGTCATATTTATTGCAAATTCAAAGTTGCAGAGTTCAAACTCCCCGCCCCGGCTTCCCTGTTGTTCCCCGCCATGATTGGGCAATGGGCGAACAGCTGGGAGGTGGCCCTCCCGCCCCCGGTGCCTCTGGATCAATCAGGAAGCTCCAGTGGTCCGTAGGATCCAATGGGGAGACCTCTGCCACCTGGTGGCAACAGCAAATCAGGAGAGAGGGAGGCGGGATGAGGGAACACAAAGGAATCTGGGAAGAAGTCTTTAAACAAAGGAAATGCCATGTGGCCTGAGACAAAAAGCTCAAACAGGGCCGATCTATTGTGTTCATGAGTGTTGTGAATCAACATGTGTAAAAATATCCTGATCCTTCCTGGCTGTGAGACAGGAGAATACCGGGATTGTGGCGCAGCTGGCTGAGTGTCAGCTGCATTAAGATCACTCTGACCAAATGGTCATTAGGCTTTGGGCTATTCTATATTTCTATTTTCTCTCTTAATACTCTGGTCTTACTTTCCTGGCTCACTACTAGAGCTCTTTATCTCTCTCTTTTGCTTTTAGCTAACACAATTTTCTTTTCGGGTCTTTCCATTATATATTAGATCACATCTATTTTAATACTTGAGACTACACATTCTATATTTTAATGTAAATTTGAAAATTTAATAAAGATAATAAATAAATAAATAAATAAATAAATAAATAAATAAATAGGTCATGAGTTCGAAGCCAGCCCGGGCTGGAGTGGGTGTCCAGCCATTGTGTAGCCCGTTGTCGACCTTTGCAACCCGAAAGACAGTTGCATCTGTCAAGTAGGAAAATAAGGTACCACCTTGTGTGGGAGGCTAAATTTAACTAATTTATGAGGCCATAAAGAAAGAGTACTCCGGGGAATGTGGAATGCGGAAGAACTTCATCAGTGTCGTTGATGGACGATGAAAAGCAGCAGCTCCCCTGGTGGCCAGAAAAAGTTAAATAGCCTCGGTGTATTTGTCTGTTAAACGTTATTTGTCAAACTGGCATTGAATGTTTGCCATATATGTGTTTACTGTAATCCGCCCTGAGTCCCCTGCGGGGTGAGAAGGGTGGAATATAAGAACTGTAAATAAATAAATAATAAATAAATGATGGTAGCCTGAGGTTAATGCTAAGTAAACAAAAGCAGAGGGGAAGATTTCCCCTTATCTTACAGAAACTTTTGTCAAACAATTCTTTACTCTAGTGGGCCATCTTCCGAGGCTAGAGATAAGAATCTCCTTCTTTTATCCATGCCAGTGTGTCTTTGGCGGGAGGTTTCAGTCTTTTGTTTCTGAAGGCCAGGGGGTTCCCTTACATATTTCTTTGGAGAGAGAAGGGGCAAAGGGTCAGGAATACAAGGAAACATAAAAAAAAACATATAGAAATTATACACAGGGAAATCATATGCAGGTATCTTTCCATTCAGGGCCCCACACAGCATGAATTCAAAAGTTGTCTTGAAGAAAGTTCATGGGTAGGGAAACTTTGTGTTTTCTCTGTTTGCTTTGTTCTGTTAGAAATGTAATACAATTGTTTGGTGGCCCCTGACACGATAAATAAATAAAATGCCTCTCTTTTGCTTTTCAGCTTGTGGCGCAATCCAATCCCGAAGGCCGTCGAGCAAAAACTGAGCGAGCGAGAGCCAAAGATGATTTTTTCTTTTGTTTAAGAGAGACGAGGCGACTCTTAGCCACGGATCCAACATTAAAGAAGCCAGGGTTAGAAAGGAAGAAACCAGAGAAGAGTTGGGTTGAAGGCCAATGCTTTATTTGAGAGAGAAATGCTCAGCATAGGACGCGAAAGGGAGAATTGGGCATGCCGTTGGCACTGTTACTAATTTCTCAACGGCCTGAAATGATCAATTTACCTAAAACAACAGGGAGTAAACAATCAGGCACATCAAATCACTCCCAACAAAAGATTTCCCCCAGGCACTTCCAAGCCATTAAATGCTAATCAAGGTGGTCAGTTGAAACATTCACACCTAGCTCCAGCAGACAAGAGTCATTTGTCCCACCCTGGTCATTCCACAGATATATAAACCCATTTTCCTAGTTCCAACAGACCTCACTACCTCTGAGGATGCTTGCCATAGATGCAGGCGAAACATCAGGAGAGAATGCCTCTAGAACATGGCCATATAGCCCGGAAAAACCTACAACAACCCAGTGATTCCGGCCATGAAAGCCTTCGACAATACAATTTATCCATTTTCTCCCCCATCGTGAGCACAGCTAGTATTAGTATTTATAATACAGGAAACAATCAGGGACAGCTAATCACCTCTCAACAAAAGATTGTCCCAGGCACTAACAAGCCACACCAAACAACTGCCAGGCCATCAAATGCTAATCAAGGTGGTGAGTTGAAATATTCACACCTCGCTCCAGCAGACAAGAGTTCTTTGTCCCACCCTGGTCATTCCACAAATATATAAACCCATTTTCCTAGTTCCAACAGACCTCACTACCTCTGAGGATGCTTGCCATAGATGCAGGCGAAACGTCAGGACTAAGTTGTGTTAGAGTTCTGAAATTTTCACCACCGGAACTTTAGCAACACTGTAGAAGCAAAGCACCAGCGCCCCCTAGTTTTCACCACCAGAACTTTAGTTTTTTAAGTACTTTAGAACCATTTAGAACCATGGATTGCACATGCCATATATATATATATATAGCTATATATAAAAGCACTGAAGCTGATTTTCCTCCTTTGTACGATAACTTAAAATGTGGTGGTTTGGAGGAAAAGATTCAGCTGCTGCTAAGATAAGTCATGTTTTGAATTGTATTGTTTTCTCGTGCACCTTGGTCCACAATTCATTGCATTGTGAGTTGCTGTGCATATATATATATATATATATATATTTAATAATTTATTACTGTTGTGTGTTTTGTCTCTGGATCTCTTCCAAGGGGAATATTGTGCCAAAAAGGATATGAAATGCTTTGCCAAATAAATGACAACAAATGTGAAATTGAGTGTTTTATGGAGGAGGAAATCAGGCAACGCAATGTAGTCCAATATGATTTTCTTCCAAGGGAGTTTCGCACCTCGACTGTGTTTCTTTGTGTTTGGATCAGGCCTTCGGTTCTTATCCATGTGATCCTTTTGGTCCAAAGCAGTGGTTCCCAACCCTTTTTTTTCACCAGGGAGCACTCTCCAACATTAGTACCTGTTCTGTCGTCGCTGAATCTGAAATGAAGCGCCTTTAAGAGAGGATGTGTGGCTTAAATCCAGTGGGAAGCCAGGGGGCCCGAAAAGGAGCCTTTAGGTAAATTTCCCTCATTAAACAGTCTTTAGGAGGCTTGAGCTTAAATATAACAGTCTTTTATTGATGAACAGACTGTTATATGCCAGAAGGGACAGAGAGCTTCATCTATGCGGATGATCGTGCCATTACTGCTCAAGCAAGGAGCTTTGAGATGGTAGAACAGAAGCTTTCCGAAGCTCTAGGTGCTCTCACTGCCTATTACAGGGAAAACCAGCTGATCCCTAACCCATCTAAAACACAGACATGTGCTTTTCACCTTAAGAACAGACAAGCATCCTGAGCTCTGAGGATGACCTGGGAAGGAATCCCACTGGAGCATTGCAGCGCACCCAAAGACCTGGGAGTCACTCTGGACCGTGCTCTGACCTACAAGAAGCACTGCCTGAACATCAAGCAAAAAGTGGGTGCTAGAAACAATATCATACGAAAGCTGACTGGCACAACCTGGGGATCACAACCAGACACAGTGAAGACATCTGCCCTTGCGCTGTGCTACTCCGCTGCTGAGTATGCATGCCCAGTGTGGAACACATCTCACCACACTAAAACAGTGGATGTGGCTCTTAATGAGACATGCCGCATTATCACGGGGTGTCTGCGCCCTACACCACTGGAGAAATTACACTGCTTAGCCGGTATCGCACCACCTGACATCCGCCGGGAAGTAGCAGCCAATAGTGAAAGGACCAAGGCAGAGACATCTCCAGCTCATCCCCTGTTTGGGTATCAGCCAGCACGTCAACGACTTAAATCTAGACATAGTTTTCTAAGATCTAGAGACACTCGCTGGAACACCTCAGCAAGCGAGAGTCCAAAAGTGGCAGGCTCAAACCCAGAACCTCAACCAATGGCTGATACCAAATGAGAGACTCCCCCCTGGGCACACAGAAGACTGGGCGACTTGGAAGGCATTGAACAGACTGCGCTCTGGCACCACGAGATGCAGAGCCAACCTTCAGAAATGGGGCTACAAAGTGGAATCCTCGACATGTGAGTGCGGAGAAGAGCAAACCACTGACCACCTGCTGCAATGCACCCTGAGCCCTGCCACATGCACATGGAGGACCTTCTTGCGGCAACACCGGAAGCACTCCAAGTGGCCAGCTACTGGTCAAAGGACATTTAATCAACTACCAAACTCACACATTTTATATTTTCTCTGTTTGTTTGCTTTGTTCTGTTAGAAATGTAATATATTTGACTGGCTGCTCTGACATGAGAAATAAATAAATTGATGAACAAACAGGAAATGTAAAATTTGCTTGGTAAAGAAACCAGTTCTCTCAAACTTGTCCACAGGGAACAGGCACTATCTTCAGTAACTTTGTTCAAAGGAAAATTCCCCTTTTTAGCTCCTCCCAGGCTACTGTGAACCTAAACCTGATTGATTTGAATCTACTACCGGCTGAACTGTGTCTCAGAACCGAGCAGACATACCAGCAGGCCTGTAGTCACTTAGCTGGAGATCTTAATGATTAGAGCTGTTATTCCCTCCGGAATTCCTCAGGGTTGTAAGGCTGTTTCCCCGGAACCTTTGGGAATCTTTAGAGGCTTAAGACTGTTCTCCCCCAGGAAGTCTTAAGGGATGAAGCCTTTGTACAGGAGGACGTCTGTACACATCCTCTGCATTGACTTCCTTTGCTGAGACTAACTGAAAAAAATGGCCCCTCCCCCCCAAAAAACCCAGAGAGGGGCGGAACCAGGGATCCTAACTATAATTGACAGGTGGCTTGCCCTATGAATGCAGCCAAAGGAAGCCACCTATCTGCAAAGTCCCTGAAACGAAGGACTATGAACAAACACTCAGTGCAAAACACAAGATTGGAGCCCCTGGAACAGCCGTTCCAGAACAGTACCAAAGGGTTACAAAAAGGTTTTTGGTCAACTTTAGATTCAGTTTGGTTATTTGGGGTGCGGATTCAGAAAATTGCATTGGATAGACCACATCAGCTCTAGTTTCTGATACGGAATATATGTCATCCAGTAGTCGCCATCTGCCCATCCACAGAAAACCGTATTTAATAATCTAGAGCTGATGTGGTCTACCCAATGCAATTTCCTGAATCGGCACCCCAAATAACCCTAGGAACAGGCCTAAAAAATGAAGATACCAAGGTGTCCTTGCTTCCAGGAGCTAWGTGGAATGAAGCATCTCCATTTCTAAGCCAAAGAGCCAGCATTGTCCATAGACACCTCCAAGGTCATGTGGCCAGCATGATTGCATGGAACACCGTTACCTTCCCACCGGAGCAGTACCTATTGATCKACTCTCATTTGCATGTTTTCGAACTACTAGGTTGGCAGAAGCTAGGGTTGACAGCAGAAGATCACGCCGCTCCCCAGATTCGAACCTGCAACCTTTTGATCATCAAGCTCAGCAGTTTAACCCACTGTACCACCGAGGGCTCTTGATACAAAAACACAGTATGCCACAGCAAATGACATCTATATGCTGGATTTCGTATTATTATTATTATTATTATTATTATTATTATTATTATTATTAAGTAGGGACTGAAGGGCCATCTGTTGGGAGTGCTTTGATTGTGCTTTTTCTGCATGGCAGAAGGGGATTGGACTGGGTGGCCCATGGGATCCCTTCCAGCTCTAGATTTCTATCATTCTATTATTATGACTATTATTGTTATTTGAAACACAACAAGATGAGTTGGCAGAAGCTGGGGCTAACAGCGGGAGCTTTCAGTCAGCAAGTTCAGCAGCTCAGTGGTTTAACCCACTGCGCCACCAGGAGCAGCCAACATAGTGATCTTGTTTACTAATCATGTTGTGTATCTAATAATAATAATAATAATAATAATAATAATAATAATAATAATAATGATGATGATGTATTACAAGCTATCTAGAGGATAAGATAGGAATAACTTCATAGGTGATGATGGGAACATTGAACTTTCATCCCCTGCAAAATGCAAAACATGTACATGTCCACATGTTCTGCATTCTTCCTCTCAACCTTTGAATATACACAAATGCGCTGCTCCATCCCACAGATGAAAGAAACTCATGTTTTCCCAAGTTGAATCTACACAATAGAGTTATTGCATTTTTTGACATCGCTTAAACTGCCCTAGCTCAATGCTGTGGACTCCTGGGAACTGTAATTTGTAGTATGTAGCCCTTATTTCTCATGCCAGTAAGGTAATGCTCAAGATCCTGCAAGGAAGACTCCAGCAAGACATGGAGCGAGAGTTGCCAGATGTTCAAGCTGGGTTTAGAAAAGGCAGAGGAACCAGAGACCAGATTGCCAATATCCGCTGGATAATGGAGAAAGGCAGGGAGTTTCAGAAAAACATCTACTTCTGCTTCATTGACTATTCTAAAGCCTTTGACTGTGTGGATCATAATAAATTGTGGCAAGTTCTTAGTGGGATGGGCATCCCAAGCCCCCTTCCCTCTCTCCTGAGGAATCTGTACAAGGACCAAGGAGCAACAGTCAGAACTGACCACGGAACAACAGACTGGTTCCAGATTGGGAAAGGCGTCCGGCAAGGCTGCATACTCTCACCCAACCTTTTTAACT